TTCATCAAAACGAGTGACCAATGAATAAGGGAAAGGAATGGATAACTCATTGGGGAGTTTGTTATACAAAGTATTATACATTATATCTCTATATATGACTTATATTTATATACTTTCTATGAAAACCAAATAAGGGATGACTTATTAAAAAATAAAATAAAATATTTTGTGAGTTGAATGTATAGTTGAAAATATGAAAACATTTTGACAATTTTTTGCAGGTTTTTCCGATAATATGAGTGTTTTTTATATTTGTTCAACAAATTAAAAAGATTGTCACCAAAAATGATAAATAAAAATACATTAATAGAAATATTTTAAATGCTTTGTTATATTGTTAATAAAATCAGACTATAAATCTAATTATACTGATATTATAGTATCATTATTTTTTTGGTGATGAAGTCCAGTGTATAAATCATAATTAAATTTATTTTTGGTTACATTGTTTGTCACAAACACGAGTCATTTAATGTGAAATTGCATTTGTATTGAACTACATAACCAGTTATACAGTTATATTGTCAACAGTTATATCAAATACAATAGAATTAACTAATATTAATGCATTCATCATCTGTTAAGTAGTGCACTGTTTGTCTAATGTGACAACAATTGTGACCTATAATTGAAATACAAGAAGTATTTCATATAAATATTTAAGACAAAAGACTGATATTTTGTATTTGAATTTGATATCAGACTGGAGTCATATAACTGTAATGATAATTGACACCAAACTATACTCACAATATTTACATACAATACTATCCTTTCATTTTCCACTTATTTATCATTTGAAATGATTGAATTATATTATATAAAATTTAGTCAATAATCCACAATAAAAATACATGAATTTTTGTAATGATTTGCAATGACTGCAATAATGAAATGTATTGTATATTAATATACAGATAATTTAATATATAATTTAAATAAATACATTTTAACTTTTTTGTATTAAAGTTTCAGGTAGTATATATAGTATATACAGTAAATTACTGTATACTGTATGCTAATTTTAAATTTAATGTACTGTTAAGTCTATGACTATCAGTGCAACGTTAGTATAGAAATACTGTACTATATTGTAGTTTCCACTTATGTTAACATTACATAATTGTTGTCTAAGTCAGTTAAACTTACAATTTTTATATAAAATATTAAAAACTAATTTTATGTAACTTTACTTATTATATCTAATTAATATTTATATGATACAATGTGTTATGTAATAATGTCAAATAATAACATCTACAGTACTTAAGCCGTGTCACTCTATGAGATGAGATGGTCACTAATCATAAGACTTAATTAATGTCTAAACCAATTGACCCAACTGTCCCATTAATGACTATCCTATTAATATAAAAACTATCAATATTTTCAATGTTGCCAACGACTTCCCAATTAAAAAATTTATGTTAAAGTAATTATATTGATATGTTGTTTATACCAATATAAATCAAATGAAAATCAATAGTTAATCTAATATCGTAACTGAAAAATATAAAAACATAATATTATATTTGTTGACTAATCTTATAAGAAAATTAAATAAAAATATTTAATACTTTTATAAAAAATTTTATATAAGTCATGCGTTTAATACTACAATAATATACTCTATTATCAATTTAAACTCATATTATCTTTAAAAAAAGACGTTTACTAAAAAATTTAATATTTGTTTTTATTGCTATAATGTTATACCAAATATTGTAGTGTTTATGTGATACAATCAAATGAGTGGTAAAATTTTAATATTGTTTTGTTGATATAAAACATCAAAATACCATACAATACAGTATTATTAATGTAATTGTAGTTTTCTGTATATTTAAATAGTAAATACAATATTATATTAAAATTATAAAATATAATAAAATCTTGTAATAATGCTATGATATGATGCAAAAATGAAAATATAATATAATCCTATCTGAAGTTTTCATAATAATTGCTAAGCAATTACAAGATTTTGTTTATATAATAAATTATACTTTATTTTCAACATAATTATTAGTTTAATAAGTGATTATATGTTTATAAAATATTTTAAATATCTCAATTTGTATAAAGTATAGAAAATACAGTATAATATACGGTAGTAATTTGCAAAAATAAAACACTATATTATAATATACTGTATCTTATACTGTAAATATTAGTGTAACACTACTGTAATGTATAACAATATTTACATATAATTTAAACCAGTCATTGAAAACTAACTTTAAAAATTTAAATTGTAAATATAAACTATACAAATTAAATGAGTAAATAAGTATGAGTTTTTTGATATAAATTTTCCAGTCCAGAGAAAATTCCCTAATATTTCCTTAAATTCCCGAATATTCCCATGTAAATTCAGGAAAATTCCCATAAGTTCCCGTATAAATTCCCAGGAAAATAAGTAAAATTTCCAAAAATATAAAAAAATTAAAAATTAATAAAAACTTAATAAAAACTTAAATTTTAACAAAAAATAAAATAATTGTGTATTTTAGATAAAATAGTTGATAAAAGCATTAATGAGTTTTTTAGTATTTAAGTAATTTTTAAATTTTAAAATAATTAATTTTTTAAATAATATTTAATACTTATAGTTATAGGTATATATTTTTTGATTTTTAATGTTTTTTTATACAAATACTGACTGAATACTAATTATTTAACTCAATTTTCGTTAAAGTTTTATTTATATTAATTATAAAATTGAAAATATTTTCAAATTTTTTATATAAAATTTTAAAAATTATAAAAAAAACTTTATAATATAAGTATTTATTGTTTTATTAACTTCCTAAACTATCTCAAACTTCTATTTATATTGTAATATGATTATTCTTTTCAACAAATAGGTAATTTTTAATTTTTTAGTTTAATATTTTAATTAAAATTATGTTATTTTTTGATGAGTTTTAACGTTATTTTAACTTTTTTACTTATTTATAATAAATAATTAGATTTATATAAATTTTAAAAACATAAAAACACATACTAAAATAGTTTTAATTAAAATTAAAATTTTTAAAAACAAGAAAATATAAACTTTATAAATAAAACATGAATTAAACTAACAACTAATTTATGTGTATATTATTATAAATTTGATGTTTATTTTTATTTATAATTTTTATTACTATTAACACATATTTTTAATTGATTCAATAAATTTCACATAAATCAATGAATTTAACACATTAATATAAATTTATAACCGTATAATTGGCAATATTAATATATTAAATATTACTTGTATAAGACTGTTAAGATAAAAACCGGAAATTTTGTATCTCCAAAATTTATGTTTTTTATTATCATTATTTTTGTTTATAATTATTTTAAAAATGTTTCATGTCGCTAAAATAGATTTTTTTAGTAAAAAATAATTCATTCACAATTGAAGACAATTATATTAACTTTCATAAATTATTGTACATTTTATTTACACTTTAAATAATGTAAAATATAGTTTCATTGATTTTTAAGGTTTATTTTTGACAGTCTTATGTTAAATGTCTGTATTTGACGACAATTTATTATATATTACACTATAAAATAAAAGTACAATAGTTTTGAAATTTTTATTATAGCAAATATGTACAGTATATAATGTTATTATATGACAAAATGGTAAGTCTATTTAAATATAATTTATAATTTATTTTAATTTATGATAATAATGAAAATTTATACAAATAATAATTTGTAGCTGTCTTTAAATTAGTATTTTATTATTAATAACATACTTTATAATTGTATTAACTTTCTCTTTAAAAATGTAGGTTTTTATATTTTCTATGAATAAAATAAACGTTTATGCTATTGTTTATTTATTTTTAATAAATGATTATTATATAATAAAAATATTTTTTAAAATTATTAGAATTTAAAACTATTTTATACATAAATCATTACTTGTATTCATTGATAATTTCTTAGGTTATTAAATATATTTTGATTGAACTGATTATAATAGATGTGAACTAAGAAGTTAATCACAATATTATCTGTCTTTTAAATAATAAAATAAATCTCTAAGTTATTGAGTAATCAATTGTTTCGATTCATTATTTGATACTTTTATTTACCATTTCTTAGAGAAATATATTTAGTGATTATGGAAACAAAATTTATTGTTATATTTGCTGTGTATTACTCAATAAATACTAAACAATTCATTTTGTAAATGTCTTATATCCTAACTATTATCAATGAATATATGAGTTAAAGTAAAATTTTAATATTTTGTTTTTTAAATAATCAATGACTTATTATAACAAAAATGGTCAAAAACTTTGTGAGAAAATTATTATAGATATGTTTGTAAATTTGAAAAAATAGTAAAATCTTTGGAGCAAAATGTTTTTTTTTTAGAAATTCATCTAAAAGTTAAACTATAATCATCAGAGAAAATGGATCTATTATTATATATGAAATAAAATGTATTGATATTTCTATGACTAATACTTTCTTACTATTTTGGATATGATATACATTTACATTACTTTTATATCTATTATATAAAGCAGATATATATAGATTTATACTGTATTCATATATATTTAGATCTATACTGTATCTGTTGTTACAACGATATTATATAATGACAGCCAACGGCATATAAATGTCATCCGAAAGTACTGTAAATGTTTGAAATACTATATTTATTCTATACTTTATATACATAAAGCACTTTTGTTTTGCTATATTCTACTATATTAAAGAATATGTTGTGTTATATTGTATTTAAAAACAAAATTTATTGCTTTCAGATTTGTTTTCTACATTATGTTTTGTTTATTAAACTTCATAATACTGTATAGTAATATATAAATATTTTTGATTAAAATATATGATGTAAGTTAATATAATATAACTTAATTATTTATATAAATTATTTTATGTTTACGGTGTTATTTATCTTTAAATTATTTTATTGAATTATTTTTATATTTAGTTTTTCAACTGTAGAAAATAATTGAAAAACTATGGAAATATATGAGAATGAGATTATTGTGTGTGACATGAATTTGGACGTCAATTGCAGTGACAAAAGTGCCGACAACTTGACATATTTGGACGGCAATGAGTCCATCTATTTTGGACGTCCATCTGAAATGTTGGAGCCGTGGAATATCAATCCGTACTTCTTTCCAATTTTGATCACTTATATCATTACATTTATTGTCGGCGTCTCTGGAAATATCATTGTCATCAGTGTTATGGCTGGAGATCGGGCCAATCGGTCAGTGACCTCAATATTTTTGGTAAGTCTAGCGGTCGCTGATTTGCTTCTATTGGTTATATGTGCGCCTCTGGATGTGGCACATTATTTTGTCATTCAATGGGACCGGGAGGGCACCATTTGCAAGTTAGCCGCATATGCTGAATGTGTGTCCGCCTTTGCTTCGGTACTCAATTTAGTTGCCGTTAGTTTTGAAAGGTTTGTCTTACCATTTATAACAACGCATTTACATTATGTAATACATTATATCTTATATTTTAAATTATTATTTTTAAAAACTTTATATTTTCTACTATTCTTATATATAATTATAGTACAATTTTATATTAAACATTACAGCAAACAGTATAGGTTTAGAGTAAGTTTATAATCAAATAGACATCTCTAGACTTAGTTATCATTATTTACGTTAAATTTTAATTATTATAAAATAATAATGTATTAAATATTTTAATTATAAATATTGTATCTATTTTTACTGTATACGACTTGAAAGCTGTATTGCACTAACTATGATAAACTAATCCTAAATTATAACTATGTTTTATAATAATTGTAAGTAAATATATTTTATACACTTTGATATAATTTTATTAATTGATTAAAAAAGTTATTCAACAGAATATCTAAATTATGTATTTATAATATTGAATATACTTTATGATACAAAATGTTGTTTATGATACTTATGTTACAATAACCTTATAACTTAGTATACTATAGTACTTAGTAGTATATAATAGAAAATATTATGACATAAAATATTAATTTCTTTAAGTAACTGAATAAACTTTAATATTCTTATATTATTTGTTAAAATTTTAAGTGATAATCTCACAATAGTATAGTGTCAATACTTGTTATAAAATTTTTAAAATAAATATTTTTTATAATTAATACCTATTGAAAATAAAAACTCTTCAAATATTTTTAGCTAAAACTCAATTTTGAAAATTCAAAATTTTTTCTAAAGCATTATTAATTGAAAACCAATTTTTAAAAGATATTTACAAAAATAGCTAAAAAAATAAATAAATTTAAATCTTTATCTAAAAAAAGATATTATAGAAAAATACTGTATTAACGTTTGCTTAGGGATGACATTAAAAAGTGAATTCAATTAGATTAAAGCAAATTATAGTATAACAGATATATTTATATAAATAAAAAAATGAAAAAATTATTTAATAATTATTAATAATTATTTTATAAACTTAGAAATTACAAATATAATAATTGCATTAACATTATTGCTATTTATAATATAAAATATACATTATTTCACATAAAATTAATATTATATTATAAAAACAAAATGTATATCATGTATTTAATTGTATTATATTGATAAATGTCATTTTGAACATCCGATTGTAACCATTTTTTATTTTAATGTAAATTACATAACTTTATATTTTATTCTAATTGTGTTGAAACTATTTTTAAACAGATTTTAAAACGATGTTTTATCAAAAACATATTAAATTTGGAATAATTTTTAATAATATAATTTAATTGAAATTTAATAATCAATATTTATAATATAAGTTGATACAATTTATAATTTATACAGCTTATTTAAAATAAATTTTTATTTAACTAGCATTTTATTTTTAAATTCAGATAAAGTTACAATTGTAAATGTATTGTATTTGTAAACTTAATTTCAAATTTACTACTAATACTAATAAATTTATAAAATCAACATTATGTAATTTGATTTACATAAAAATGCACTATAAATAATAAGACTAATTATATTATTACTAATATTTCTATCATTTTTCTATGTAATCTAATTATAACTTTACTGTCCAACAAACTTTATTGACTTAACCAAATCGATAATGCATTGTGTTTATAGAAATTACCTGAAAATTTTTTAGAAACATTTTCTCCACAATGACTTTACTATAGACACTAAGGAATAATATTAGAAATATTACAAAAATTGTATTCTAATAGTTGTAGTAAATGTTTTAAATTTACTGCTTTCGCAAATTTATTAATTATGAAATAACTTTTGAAACATCAAATTTTTGTAAATATTGTTTATTATGATATAAAATTTATATATAATTTATATAAACATTACTATTTATGTTTACAAAAAATATAATAAATTCTTTATTAAAATTTAAAATATCGATTAATGACATTTTTTAATATTATTTAATATAAGTTTTAATAACTATTTCATACTGAATTTTTAATTTCTAGTTTTGATACACTGTTACTATATATTAGCCACTTAGCAAAATAGATTTATTTTAATATAATTTCTATATAATTTAATTAAAAATAATATGCTACTCGTAAATTTCTATAAATTTTTATATTATAAACATTTACTAAAATATATTTTATACAATATTTTTATTCTAATGGTCCTATTATTTAGAACATTAAGATTTAGTGATATAAATTGAATTCATTTAAATGTTGAAAACATAATAGTTTGCGATTTTATTTGAATGAGTTTTAGTAATTATCCTTTGGGTTCAATAACAAACTTAAATGATTATTATTGTTTTATATTTTTATAATAATCTTTATAGGTTGAAGATATATTTAATAATTTAAGTTTATTATTAGAACTCATACAAAAAAAATTTATTTATTTATAAACAAAACAATGTTTATCAGTAAATCAAATCAAATAATATTTTATACATTGTTTCATAACTTATAATTTATAAGCAAAGAATTGAAAGCTTTTAGTGCATTATTTCTTAAGAGATTAAAGTAATGTCTTTACATATAAATGTTTACAGATATATAGCTCACGTTTCTGACACTATTAAGCGATATAATTAATAAATAAATATATTGCATGATATTTACATTATTTTTATTACAAAAAATATTATTTTTTTTATCTTTACTATTAATGTTTTTTGATTAAGCTTCTAATTATATTAATTCAATTTTTTATATACATAAATTTATATAAACTATATTTTTTATATTTAAAAAAATAAAAAAGTTTTTTGAAAAATATAAATATTTTGAATATGATATTTAGTAGTATATTGGTTGAAAATACATTTAATTATTATTTATATAATAAATGAGACAAAAATAGAAAATGAACAAAAAGTATAAGAATTTAATATTAATTGAATAAAATATATTTTAAATCAAAACTTAAATGAATTTTAAATTTAAATATAACTTTAGATGACTTAAGAAAATGATATGATTTATATTACAATTAAAATTTGCAGATATGTTGTAATTGTATTCCCGATCCGTTCGCGTTCATTGTGCACAATGTCTAACTGTAAGAAAATTATGGTAATTGTATGGATGCTATCATTACTGTTGGCCACTCCAGTCATATTCACTAAGGTTTGATACTATCTATAATTTTAAGATTTAATTTTTATTATAAAGTTATCTTTTATATGAATTTATATTTTAATAATTAATTTTTTAGTATCAGATATAAGTAATTTAAGATATTTTTAGAAAATTAATTATTTTTATTTATTTGAATTATGAATATAAAATAATCTATTTTATTGACAAACGTCTTATTGAATTCAAGTATATGTCTAAAAATGGAAATTTGATTTAGAATTTTATTATTGACTTTAATAATCATATAAATTGATATTATTATTATTATTATTATTATTATTATTATTATTATTATTCAAATATTATAATATTTGTCAATATTTTAAGATTAATACAGTAAACACTTTAAAAGTTTTTAATTTAAAGTAATGTTGTAATTTTAACGATTTTACTCAATAATATAACAATAAAAAATATAATTAGAAAAAATACTAAGCTAATGTAAGTTAATGAAAAAGTAAATTACATTATATAAAATATCATAGTTATATACAATATGTAGTACATAGTCATTAAATTGTTATCGTAAATTACTTTTGATAAAAAGTATTTAATTAATATTATAATTGTCTGAAAAGTTTTTAAGCAATAATATGGTTTATATAATATAAATTTATATTGTTTGTATGTAACTATTATAATATACTGTATTATAGTAAAGCATATTATATAAATATCAATAAATCAAATTTATAATTCTAATATAACTAATATATATTTTAATATAAATAAGATTTAGTAAATTATGTTATAATTAATTATAAGATTATATATATAATCTTTATTAATACTTTCAGTATATGTAATCTCTAAATAGTCAGTCAGTCATTTGACAGACATTAGCACTGTTGCACTGTTGAACACCAATTGGGATCAATTGTTTAGTGTTAACCATTGATTTTTAATATACGGTTGATTTATAAAGTGTTGAATTGAGAAATATCTGTTGCTTTGTTACATAAATAGTATTTTCTAACTAAAATTGACTGCAATATTGATGTTCAGGCATTGTATCAAATGTGAATAAAATTGTGTCAAAAGATTAATTGATAGATAGCTTTAGGAAAATATTGATTAATACAACATTTATTTTGCAGACACAACTGTAAATAATGTATTTTTTGTGTACAACTATTTTCAGTTAATATGTTTTAGCTGTAATTATATAATTGATTTTATATATATTCCGTAATTATAAGTAACTTTAATAAAAGTAAATTAAATTTATGAAAATTAGTTTACTTATGATAGTATCTAATGTTAGAATACAGTGAAGACAACGTTTGCCAATAACCAGACATCAGTGACATTGTATTCTTGTAAAGAATTATACGACTGGAAGGGTTTCTCAGTCAATATCTATCGATTTGTTACTCTCTTTGCTTTGCCATCAGTTGTAATGATTGTATGTTATCTATGGGTTATCATTGAATTATGGATTTCCACCAAAACCATGGATGAGTTAACACATAATCGGTAATATTTGAAACTTAATACATAACTCATTTGAGTTAAAATATAACAATTATTGTTATTTTTATAGTACTGTAGGACAACAAAGCTGTCAATCATTAGAAATTACAAGAAGTGAGTCGAGAGCGAGTATAAGTCATGAACAGATCACTCCTATATATCAGTCGCCCACCAGATATATATTGAGAAGTCATACCAATGATAATAGAGATGTTAAGAGAGCCCGACAACAGGTATGTCTTTTTCAATTTATTTATGTAACCATATATGACATCAAATATAAATTATAGTTTATAGTTATAGTCTATTAAATACTATATTTATACAATTAAATATTTATTAATGAGATTAAAGTTTGAGCCTTCAAGTGACTTTACTGTAACTGTACTAAAATTTTATATTAATTCAAATAATACAGTAATAATAATAATAATAAACAGTAATTCACTGAAGTATAATATTATTTTCACAAAGTTGCTGACTTTAGTTAATACTGTAATAATAATGTTTACGATATTATTAGAAAAAAAGAAAATGTTAGCAATTATTTAACATTTTACTATGCATTGTAACTCTTTATATTTGTTTTTTGATAAATGTTAATTTTATTGAATTTTATTTTATTTAGTATTCAACTCACTAAACATATTGAGTTTATTTTCACAACAAAAAATAATAATGTTTACAATTTAGTTGCAAATTTGATAAAAAGTTCGCAAACTTAGTGTTCATACACAGTACTTATATTATTTATTGATTGAAATAATTAAATTTATGTAATAATTGATAATTTAATGCTTTAGGTGATCAAAATGTTGATTTTAGTGGTACTCTTATTCCTGATATGTTGGGGACCACGACTAGTGATGGAGATTATTATCAAATGTTGTCTCTCTCTTATGATGTTTAATAACCTGACATATATGTTGCGAATAATTTTTTATTTGTCACCATTTGTTCACTCATGTCTTAATCCTATTGTATACGGCTTTATGTCGACTAAGTTTCGGCGCCGAATGTTTCGAGTGTTTGACCGAATTTGCTTTAAAGTTTGCCGAAAAAGCCGGACATCGGCTCAACATAAAAACAAACGTATGTCGACCTCAATGTCTAATTCAAATTCAATGGTTCGCAACTCAAGAATCACATCAACGTATACTTTCTCTTCATTTGGTACTTCACTCTCTTCACCACAAAATAACTTCTTAAGTGTCAGTCAGACATCACTTCATATATAGATTATTCAAATCTATTAACAATTATTATTTGATAGTACTTACAGTTACATTACATGACTTCTGTAACTGAATTTCTAAAATACAATATATTTGTTATTTTATGAATTCCCAGTTTATTAATCATATAAATTGTATTAGTTTTCTATTATATGTATTGTATTTATTTATGTGACTATTTCTTAATTTTTTAAAATCATAATTGTTATACTATATATTCATAAACATAAATTAGATATTAATCAGAGATATAAATTTAATATGTAATTTTATGGTCAAATTAATTAGTAACATATGAATAACAAATGCATATTGAATATAATAAATAATTTAATAAGTTATTTAAGATTTTCGATATTACTAATATATTTTATTTTAACTTTAATTATTTGGTTTATGAATATTCTATGTTCTAAACTAATATACCGGTATATATAATATATACTTAATTTGATACTATATGTAAAAGTTATTTATTAATTTCATATGTTTTATCATATATTGCAAATTTATGCTATATTATTTGTTATTTAAATAACTTATTCTATACATTTATATTAATAATATAATGCTTGTGTGACTTTTTAATATGTAAAAATCGAGTTTATAATTGATTAAAAAATAATTTGTTAAAAATATCTATCTACAATGATGTGTCCATATTATATACTGTAAAACTATTTATAAATATATTACATGATAACAATTATTTTTAAAAATGTATTTCATACACTAAGTATAAAATATTATATCATACTTATGTATTTGTGAATATAACAGTTGATATGATAAAATGATAACTAATATAAACTTATATTTATAAAAATATATTTGTCTTTTATTTATAAATGTAATATTATTTAACTAAAACTAGAATTAAAAATATATAATTTCAATGTTGTATATTTTTATTAAAATTATATGTATTAGAATATAGTTGTTAGAAAAAATAAATGAAAACTAAAAATATTTTTTAACATTATTTTTTAAATTAGTTAAAAGGAGACAAAAAAACATAACATTAGTGACATTGTTTTAAACTAATAAAATTTGATACTTTGTTTCAAAGCTCACAAATATTTTTTGCGGAAAAGTCTTACAATTTGTGTTATATTTTGTAATTTTAAATCATTATCAGTCGCCAGCAATGGTTAACCACAATTGAAATGATATCATTTGATAGAAAACAGAGACAACAATTTAAAAATATATACAATGTTTTTATTTTTTTATTTATTAAATCAGTTTTATTTATATCGAATAAAAATATTGATCGATAGATAACACAAATTAAATATTGAATGTATTCTATTGAAGATATCATAAACTATAAACTTATAAAAAATACAATAAAATAAAATTTACAAATAATTTATATCAAATAAAAAATTTAATTAATATTTTTAAAATAATAATAATTAAATGTACAAAAATAAAAATTTTATATAAAAAACATAAACCGATATTTGAAAGTTGTATAAGAAATGTACATAAATAAGGCTATGAATGAAAAATATCTACTTATGTATTACAATCAGGTTTTTGCTATTTTCTTTGACTTAAATTCAAACTCAAATCAAATGTTTGCTTAAAATGAAAAATGTATAAAAAAAACTTTTAATATTTATATTTTCAATAAATTTTTATTAAAATGTCAACATTTTTTTAAAAAGTAAGTTTGTCAAAAATTTATATTTAATAAACTATGCTATGTATAGTCAACTAAAGAGTTGTAAAATATATGAAAATATAGACTATTTTAATATAGAAAATGTTTTCAACATTAACTTTAAATTTTCAAAATAATCTTTTTATTATAATTTACTTTTATTTTTATACATGTATATTTTAAATAAATAGATTGTCAGCAGAATATAAATATAAAAATATGAAATAAATTAAATTTATTTCAAATTTTATATATATTTAAAAAAAATATATATAGAAATATTAAATATCTTGTTATCTTGATATCTATTAATTTGACTATAATTTATATTTGACTTAATAATATCAGAAATAAATTTATATTTAATAATAAATTAAATAATAAGTAATAAAAATACACATAATTATACTTAAGTTAATAATATAAATATATTATTTTACATCACATCAAAGTTTTGCAATTTTTATTTTATTTTTTGTTCGAAAAGTATTCAATTTTTAGAAAAATGCTGAACACGTGTCTAATCAATCAATTTTACATATAGTTTGTATATTTTAATTTTGTTTGTTTTAAAAATCTACTATAGTTTAAGTAATTCAAAAACAAACTAAAAATAAACTCTTTAATAATTATTGACTATATATATGTAAAATTAAAACCAAAAGTTGTCAGTTAATTGAAATTAAATATTCATTAATTTATGTATGATATAAATCAGGCGGTATCTAATGATTAGACGGTCCCTAATTTAAAATTATTTATATTAAATTTATATTACGTTATAAATTATAATTTCAATTAATATTTTCAACCTTAAATTCAAGTAAAATTTTATATACTAATGTAGAGTAAAGTATAGTAAAATTTTCAACACATTTTGAATTTAGTTTTAGTCATTTACAATATTGTCTAAAAAATTAACCATAAAAATGTATTTTGTTGTAAATCACATTAATGTTAATTTTTTAGTAATATAAATATATTATTTTTATATCTTTGACAAAACTATTATTAAGAATAATAATATTATACTTTAATATTTAAAATATTATAAACTTTTTTGAAATTGTAATATCAAATCCTGTTTTTCTCTTTTATAAAATTGAATGTTTAGTTATACAGTATAATACCTTTTAATGTGTTAACTATCAACTATAGTATAGTTACTATACTATAAATACTGTAATATTACTTTTATTGTTAAACTAATAAAACAAATATATTATTTACTATTGTATTACTAATTAAATATACTATAAGTCACTTTATATGCTTTAATATTGATAAATAACTTGATATTAAAAATTATTTTTTTATTACCAGCAGCGGTACAGTACAGTACAATTTACATATAGTTAGTGATGTACCGATTGCATTGTTCGACAATTATTGCAAAAAAGCTCGATTGCGAAAATCGCAATTGTAATATAGCGCCATCAATAATTTTTTTTTAATTAAGAAGGTTTAAATGGTAAAACAATATGTATAAAAACATAAATTAACTAAATTTATAACAATTTAATTATTTAAACAATAATATTAAAAACTAACGTGTTAGAAATTTTTAAAAATAAGTAAAGAATCTTGATCAATTTAATTAAACAATTTTTTAACGTTGCCAAAGTTAATTTTTATACAATCCCTCATGCGCGCAATTTTACGCAATTTTTCCCAATTGCGGCAATCAAAAACTGAATTGCGTAAAATTACCAACACTACCTACAGTACACACACACACACAGTGAAAACTGTATAATGAAAAGCCTGTATATTATATCAGTTATAAAATGTCTATCTTTTTGTATAAATTTAAATGCCTTTCCTGTCCGATCCCTTAGTTGTCTGACAAATATCACATCTAACTTATGTAACTATAATATTAGCTAAATTTATTGCATAAACTTATATACATTTTATTATCTACTGTACAGTATATGTCTATTTTATTAAATCCCAAATACTACTAACCCTTATCTTATTTCACATCATTTAGTTTTTTAACAAAAAATTATTTTATTATTATTTGATATTATATTTATTTAAAGAGATAGTTAACATTCAAATCAATGGAATCCTATGAGAACCATATTTTTCAAAGTATGTCTCAATCAGAATATTATTAAATAATAATATGTTATGAAATGGCATAAAATGAAACATCAGTTTTTAAATATTGTTTTATTTTTGAATAAATATAATGTGAATGTAATTTATATGCATATAAAATATATAATAAGATTCAATATATTATATCGTATTATAGATCTAAATAATAAAATATTCTTTAAAAATTATATACAGTATTAAAAAATAATGTCATTTATAAAATTGAGATGAAAAGTCAATTTAATAATATTTATAGACAAAAATGTTGTAACAAAAAAATATATACATTTCACTAAATTTGAAAGCTATGATATATTTATGGCATCTATCGATAGAAACAATCAATGGAGATATAAGCTTTGATTATTATAACACAAAAAATGCATACAATTAATGAATAATAAAATGAAAAATGAGTTAAAATAACAAAAAAAATGATTAAAAGTATTAGATTTGAAAAGTTGTTAACTATGCCAATGCATTGATCACATGCGCAATGGTATACATTAGAGACACTTTATAAGTCAAACTCATTATGTTTTGATTGTACAGACATTTAATTATTTTTTTCATTTGCAAAACTTGTTTGACTCGATATTTCAAGTCTCGCCAAAAACTTATTTATAATTATTTTGTTTGACTTTAAAATAGTAGTCGAAAACATTGAATATAAAACTGCAAACAATGGCTTCAAATAGAGATAAAGCAACGGATCAGTTGAAAGACTTTAAAGACAATCCAACAAAAGTTTTGGTGAGTAAAAGTTTGAGCGAAAAAATTGACATTTTTTAGTCACAAAATTTATTATTTCTCTTATATCATAATATATTATTTAAAGTTTATAATTTCAATCATAATTTCAATTAACTAACACTAATTGTTTTATTACATTGTAAACAAAACTATTTGTATTTTTATAACTTGTTGTTTAGTTAGATATTTGTAAAGTTTGTAAATACTGTTATTTACTGTTATTTTAATGTATTATTTATAATGTTTTATATATTATTAAATCATAAGTTTTATTATATTTTATTAATATTGAATCTATTGACAAATGTGTCATCAAATCAATATACACTTGTAATCAGTTATATAATATTAAATAATAGACGTTATCTTTATTTTTGAAATTTATTTTTCTCTATTCAGTACAAATGCATATCAATTATTTTGTTATTATAAATTGTAAAATAATTATTAAATAATATCCTATAGTTTAATGACTTTACATATTTTGACATTCATTTAAATTATTAAAAGTTAGGATTTCCTTAAACATTAAAAACAAATCATATATTAAAAATAATAATTGAATTATAATAGTAAAGTTGTAAAAACAATTCAATATTACAAATAATTCATATTATGACCGGAAAGTTTTACACTTAAAAAGTTATAGAAATTACATTTCCTTTATTTTATCAATATATTAATTATATATCAATTTTTGCTTACTATATTTTAAATTATTCACAATTAGTTTATATAATAATGTAATTTAGTTTATATTAAACTAAATTTAAAGAAAACTACTTATTTAATATCGGAAAATCGATAATAATAATAAAAATTAAAGTACAATATAATGATTTAATATATACAGCATTTTTAAGATTTAAGTCAAGGCTTTAAATAAATATTTAAATTAAAAATGACTAAAAAACAATTGTATTTTATTGAATGTAAATATTTTATTATAATTATATATTATTAATAATTTCAAAATAATGAATTTAAAAAAATGTGTTATAATAGCATGATTATTATTATTTAACAACATTTCATACCAACTTTGCTAAAATTTTATAATGGATAAATTTTTAGTATCTATTCAACAGTATTTCAAATACTTTTTTTGCACTATAATAAATAATTTAATATAGGATATAAAGTGTTATTACTTTTTTTTATTCAAATATGTGTTATTAATATTATAGTACATGGACAATTTAATATTTTTTAGTTAAAAATTATAAAAAATATTGATTTAATATGTTATGAGTACGGATGCTTAGTTATTTTAAATTAACACATTGTCTAACATTTTTTAATTAAAAATATGATATTATTGTAAAATTATTGACACATTTAAGATTATTAGTTACATGTTTATTATATTTATAACATTTATTATGAAATAAAATAATTTTAAATATGTTAATAGATATACAGTATATTTATTGAAAATTATTGTTATTCTGATTTTTGATTTCCTATTTCAGTTTAAATAATAATTAGCGATATAATTATGATATACAGTATTATAAATTGTAAATATTTTAGTCCAAGGATTATACTAACGACTCAATATTAATTATTATTATTGTTATTTATTTTAAACTATTTTGCTTAATAAATATTTAGTTAAATAATTTTAAATTTTTATATAATTTATTAAAATGTCAATAAAATATTTTATTTATTTGTAAAATATATACTTTATATTAGTCTAATACACTGTCTGACTGTAATACTAATGTCTGACCTTATCTTGATTTTCAATTTTCAAATTCATTGAATATCTTTATATTCCTGAATAACAATAATAATTCAATTACTAATCCAAATATAACAGAATTTTTTAAATAAAAAATAACACAATTTTTTAATTTGTCGATCATTTTGATCACATGTTCCTTAATATTATAAATACTTTTTAAACTATTCAGACAATCCTATTCTAATTTTTGATGCGATGACCGAATCTTAAGACGAAATTTTAAAATAAAAAATAATTGAAAAATTCGAGACAAAAACACTTTGAATGATAGAAAGCATTTACAAATAGATTAGAGAAACGGATTGAATAATTGAATTATTATTGTTATTCAGGAATATAAAGATATTCAATGAGTTTTAAAATTGAAAACTCAAGATAAGGTCAGACACTTAATTCAAAATTAAAATGATTTGTAAATTGAATGATAACAGAAAAATAAGGTTTCTTTGCTTTTATTATTGTATAGTATTTATGAATAGAAAATACAGGTATTTAATCATTTATAAAATTAGTTTTATTTTGCTATCACTAATATTTAAGTTTAATATATTTGCATTTAATATGACTAAATTCAAGGTTTGACATATTTTTATTATGATTTCTCTTAAATAATAATTTAATAAAAAATTTATATATATGTTTTTATTTATTTTATTATTTATTTGGTTTTAAATTTATTAGATATTTTATAAGCAAGCAATTTATATATATATATATATTAGTAATTTTATTTTATAAAAATAAGATAAAAACATTTAAAATCTGTCTATACAAAAATATTTATGAGATTGTAATTTTATGTATATTTAGTATTTTTAAATTTTTAGATGAAATGAAATTATTTACTGAATATTTTTACACAATTTGATGTATTTTGCAATTAGATTAAACTATTTATTTATAAAGTACTGTAAAATCATTATTAATTAAAACTTTTAAATCGCTTTTATTTAATGTAAAATATAATTTTTGTATTAAAAATCAATATATCTATAATACATATAATCATATTATATGGTCTTTGTTTGCAATATTCAATATAAATTCTTAATAGGAGTCAATGTATTCAATATTTGACATTACATTTAACATTGAGAGACGATTTATGTCTAGACTTTTCAAAACGTGAAACTCTTTACTTTTTATTTAACTATTTTGACCGAAATTATATTTTATCGCATATTTACACCAAAAAAATTCTTTTCACTAATAAAATAAACGAATTTTGCATTTAATTAAGTTTTTAAATATTGAAATTTAAAAAAGTTTACAATTATAAAAGTGTAAATTAAATTTATGTATATTATAGGATAACGTGACGACCAAATTTGGTTGTCCTATCGGCGATAAGACAAACACATTGACTATTGGTCCGCGCGGACCAGTTTTACTTCAAGATGTACAATATATTGAAGAGTTGGCCAGTTTTGATAGAGAGCGTATTCCCGAGCGTGTGGTTCACGCCAAAGGTGCCGGTGCTTTCGGTTATTTTGAGGTCACTAAACCCGATATTACAAAGTACTGTAAGGCCAAAGTGTTTGACACCGTCGGTAAAAAGACTCCTTTGGCCATTCGATTCTCGACAGTTGGCGGCGAATCGGGTTCAGCTGATACAGCTCGTGATCCCCGAGGATTTGCTGTCAAGATTTATACTGAAGAAGGGAACTGGGATTTAGTGGGCAATAATACTCCGATATTCTTTATTAGGGACCCAATACTGTTTCCCTCATTTATTCACACACAGAAACGCAATCCACAAACACATCTTAAGGATCCCGATATGTTTTGGGATTTTATATCACTTCGACCCGAGACTACACATCAGGTTTCGTTTCTCTTTTCAGACCGAGGAATACCTGATGGATATAGACATATGAATGGCTATGGATCGCATACTTTCAAATTGGTTAATAACAAAGAAGAAGCTGTCTATACAAAGTTTCACTGGCGGGTGGATCAGGGCATCAAAAATTTGGACACAACAAAAGCCGCACAATTATCTGGTTGGATAAAAATTGATTGTAATGTTGTCTTATTTGATTAACCGATAATTTTACATTTAGGTGATGATCCGGATTATTCAATTCGTGATTTATATAACGCGATTGAAAACAAGAACTACCCGACCTGGACATTGAAAATACAAGTGATGACCTATGAACAGGCAAAGACTTGGCGATTCAATCCGTTTGATTTGACTAAAGTATTAAAGCAAACATTTGTGTTTATTTTATATAATGATAAACTGATTCCCGAATAAAGGTATGGCCCCATAAGGACTTCCCATTGATTGAAGTCGGAAAAATGGTACTTAACAGGAATCCTAGCAATTACTTTGCCGAAGTGGAACAGATGGCATTTGAACCGTCAAATTTGATCCCAGGTATCGAGGCATCACCCGATAAGATGCTTCAGGGAAGACTGTTTTCTTATGCCGACACTCATAGACACCGGTAATTTGGTTATTAATAACTATAAAATTATCAATATTTTAACAATTGTTTTTATATCACAACAGATTGGGTGCTAACTATAACCAGATGCCAGTGAACCGACCTAAGTGTCCAGTGATGCATCCAACTGAAAGGGATGGACCGTATTGTTATGACGACAATCAGGGCAATCTACCGAACTACTGGCCAAATTCATTTATGACCAGTAAATGCAATCCTAAATACAAGGAAAGTCGTGACACTAACGTTACCGGAGATATCGATCGCTTTGATTCATCCAATGACGATAACTTCGAACAGGTGACCGATTTCTGGACTAAAGTGTTGACCGCTGATGAACGCGAACGTCTGGCCAACAATATTGGCGGTCATTTGGTTAGCGCTCAACCGTTTATTCAGGAACGGACTATCAGTAACTTCGAGAAAGTTCATCCAGAGTTTGGAGAAAAAATAAGATTAGCCATAAAGAAAGTCAAGGTTTGTTTGTTTGTTTGATTTTTATTATCTTTTATGACTTAACAACTAATTTATGTTTTCTTTCACTACTTAGAGCGCAAACCTTTAAATTCAAGGCTTTTGATGGCTAATAGATATGATATTAAACGAATTATTTCAAGTTTTTAAAATTTAATTACATTCAAAATTTTTCTATAATTCCGTAATTGCTATATATTTTTGTTTTGTTTTAAAATTATAATTTAATTACAATATTTTGTTTTGATTATTTTTAATACTTTTCTATATATTAGTATATACTATATACTACCATTATTATTATTATTACTATATGGATATATTACCGTATAATTTACTTTATCTATCTACTGTATTTTGATTAATAAAATTTATTGATTTTAAAATAATTAAAAATTATATTATATTCATTTGTAATTTTTATGATTATATTAATAATTAATAAATTTTTATTATTTTTAACGTTTTTTTATTTCTAAATGACCCACAATTTTATAGAAAAATAGAGTATTCAAATTAAAAAAGTTTTTTTTATATTTAATAATACTGTATTATTTGTTCATAATGTTTGTTTAATATAAATTTTATTAATTACGTTTAATTCTTAACACATTTTATTTTACATGTTTTGTGTAAATAAATTAAATTTAAATATTTTGATTAATATTGTATTTTAATAAATTAGTTAATTTTATTAATCAATTATTATTCTACAGTTTTTAGTTGTAGAAATAAGTTTTATTTACATTATGTAATAATTATATAAAGCTAAACAAAATGTATTGATAATGACATTGCTTAACAAACTGATAGATATATCACATGAAATGCCAGTCAAGTGAGTACTCTATGAACTGGATGTGTACAACATTTCAACATTTTTATCATATAACCGGTGTTTTATTAAAAATCATGAAAATGTATTTATGGTTTACAGTTCAATGATTGAACATATTTATAAATATATTTACAAAATATCTAAAATATATATATTTATTAGAAAACTATGAAATATTATTACATAATTTTTAAGACATTTACAATAATAAGTAATATAATTTTGTTTGGACAAAAATGTTATACATTTTCTGTGACACAAAAACCAAATATAATAATTATGTTAATGGATGACATGGGTTGGGGTGACTTAGGTGTTAATGGAGATCCTGTTAGAGAAACTCCTAATTTGGATGCAATGTCTGTCGAGGGAATGTTATTAACTGATTTCTATACCGCAAACCCTTTATGTTCGCCTTCAAGAGCAGCCCTATTGACGGGTCGACTGCCCATTAGAAACGGTTTTTATACCGATAACATTGACGCCAGGAATTCATACACACCTCAAGAAATTGTTGGCGGTATTAGTCAATGGGAAATACTTTTACCAGAATTACTACAAAAGGTTTGTTTCAAACATATTATATATTAATCTAAATTTTATTAATAATATTCTAATATACAGTAAATACTAATTATTAAAAATTTATACATTTCTTGAAATTGTAATAACATGAATGATGAGTATAAAAATAGTATAAAACTTCAAAGATTAGTATAAAAAATTATGTTTATTAAAATATTAAAATAAATACAGTATTATTTAGGCAATAGATAAAAGAAATAAAATTTTTAAAAAATATTAAATATATTATAGATATTCGTTATAAAAAGATAATATGAAAATGTAAATTCAAAATAATAATTACATAACAGAGTGGGTATCGAAACAAAATAGTGGGTAAATGGCATTTGGGTCATCAGTCACAATATCTTCCATTAAGACATGGCTTCCATGAGTTTTTTGGATCAACCAATTGCCACTTCGGTCCATACGATAACATAAATACACCAAATATTGCCTTTTTTCGTAACGACCGTATGATTGGGCGATACTTTGAAAACATTAAAATAAATAAAGACAAACATATATCAGATTTGACACAACAATATATCACTGAAGCCATCGATTTTATAACAAATCAATCGCAACCTTTCTTTCTTTACTGGACTCCAGACTCACTACACGCACCAACTTTCAGGTCATCACCATATGTGGGCAGAAGTGTCAAAAACAGTTCATATGGTGACACTCTTATTGAGATCGATGAGGGCATCGGTAGGATTTTGGACACTATTAAGAAAAACGATAGTCTCGCTAATAATACTTTTGTATTGTTTACAAGTGATAACGGAGCAGCACTTGTATGATTGATAACTTATACTTTGCAACATTTCTATTGAATTGTTTTATGTTTTTATAGGTAAGTACTACAGATGCTGGTAGTAATGGTCCGCTATTATGTGGGAAACAAACCACATTTGAAGGCGGCTTTAGAGAGCCGGCAATTGCGTGGTGGCCGTCGAAGATACCACCAAACACTTTAAGCAAACAACCGGCAACTATCATGGATTTGTTTCGCACCATTGCTACCATTACTGACAGTCCTATGCCTGAGGACAGGGAGTTTGATTCATATGATTTGAGTCCAGTACTATTTAAAAATCAAAAGATCGACACAAATATATACTATTATAGAGGTAATCAATTGATGGCTATTAGAAATGGTAATTATAAGGCACACTTTTGGACATTTACTAATCCTATTGAACAATACAAAACTGGTATAAACTTTTGTCCGGGAAATTTCGTTAAAAATATTACCACACATACACTCACTGATCACACTTTTAGACCAAAATTGTTTCACATGAATAGAGATCCGGGAGAGAGGTATCCCATATCAGAGATCAGTAAAGAATATAAAAGTGTTTTTCAAAAATTTAGTAATTTATATAAAGAACATATCGATAAAACAAAACCAGGAAAACCTCAACTTAATTGGTGTGACAGAGCTGTCATGCATTGGATACCTCCAGGTTGTGAAGCCATCAATATGTGTCTACCGGTACCACAATCTAAACCGTATAAATGCTTTTGGCCTCATTAAGTAATAATTATATTTCCTAATAAATTATTTTTTAACACAATTAAACATTATCTACATTTATGAAATAATGTGATAATTACCTTATTTCTACAATTAGAAAATAAAAATAATTTGTTAAAAATAATATTGATACATGTTATGTACTGTATAATACAGTGTATAAAAATATATATTAAAATATTAGATAATTGACCTATAGGTTCAATACATTTTGACATTACAGTATGATTACTATTTATTACAACTTTATCTTTGTTACCATATTTTTAAATACAATAATTAGCAAACATAGGTATAATGAACCAAATTATTGATGACTTACTGCAATATTAGAGTATAGCTTATAATCACAATCAAAAATATTACAAATATTTACAGTAAATGAGCGATGATTCACAATCCATAATATAAGTCGAAATATACTTTTAAAGATATAATATTACAATAATTATATAATTTATATTAATTAGTATGATTTATTATATTTTATAAATTATCAGTAAAACTATTATTTAATTTATTAATACCGATAAATCGTTTTTAAGTTATTTAATCAGAACTTGAGTAATATACTGTATTTATTAATATAAAAAGTAAATTTCTTGAATCATGATGAATCATAACTAAATTTTATATAACTTAGTTTATATTTTATTATCGATTAATATTATTGATTTTTAGTAAAATGCAAAAATTGAGTATTATTATTATATATATATATTTGATCTTTTTTAAACATTGTCTATTGTATTAAAATTAAAAGTTAAAAAATGATGTCATGTTTGTATAGCAATACAAATATTAATAGTAATAATATTGTTTGAAAATAGTAAAAATATTTATTTAAAAATTCAATTTCTTATAAATTATCAATAATTAAATTAAATATCATTATCGAGATTATTATTCCGATAATATATTTGTCTCATATTTAAAGTGCTAATGAATGCCATTTTACTGAAGTTTTGTCTACCAATAAAACTTATCCCTAAATTTGCCAAAAATGCCAACAATTTATGTTTCCAATGACCGTAAGTGTAGTTTTCAATACCAACAGTCTTGATGGCCGCCGACACATAATCCTCGGGTGTCACCGAAATCAATGGCATATCAACATTGGTTGTCAACTTTGTCTTCACCTGATTGGGAACAACAGTCTGAATGACAATACCTTTGGACGCGTATTCAATAGATAGTGAATCCGATAGAAATGTATGAAATGCTTTGGCTTTAAAAATGAAAATACAAAAACATTTTATATAATAAACTCTTAATTATGATAATTGATTGACTACTAACAGGCCGAGTATGTGGCATAAAGTGGGAACGGTATTTCACTGGCCTGTGAGGACACGTTTATTATGACACCTCTCTTGTTTTGCACCATTTGTGGTAAAACAAATTGAGTCATCTTAAGAGCTGACATTACGTTTACATTAATATAAGTTTCGTTAAACTTTGAGGGAATCTTCACAAAGTATTCCGGTATGTGATAAACAATACCGACATTATTGACCAACACATCGATGACAGCCAACTGATTCAATTGTGTTTCAATATCATCATAAATATCAGTCCGATTAAAGTCAGCTGTAATTGTCTTTACCTAAAAATAATTAATTTAAAATCATTTAAATTATTGATTATATTATATAATGAATACAAACGAGTTTGCAATTGACATAAGTCTGAGTCAACATCTTTTTAGTTGTTTTTAGTTTGTCTTCATTTCTGCTAATTATTGTTAAATTATATCCGATTTGTGCCAATTGTTTAGCGTATTGGAGTCCAATACCATCGGTAGCACCGGTCACAACTGCCCATACATTTTCTCCCGGTTTCCATTGAATACCATATCCTAAACGATATCCCAAATATGTAGTCCATATACCTCTTAATATACTTAAAACAAATTTAAGTATTATTATTGTTATGGAAATAATGGCAACAATTTCTAAATTTGATAACATTATTACAGTCTTATTGTTATTCAAATAAAAATATATAATTTTCAACAAAAACACTAAATATTTGATACAAATGTTAGCGAAACCTGTTTTCAGTGAATTTAAAACAACATTTGAGTGAATAATGTGACACTTTTGCGATAAGTACTGTATTTGTAAACATTATTAAATTTGTATATATTATACTCAAAGTCAATAGTTTTTAGGGCTAAATATTAGTAATTTTTTAATAATTAAAATTATTATCAAAATAGAGTTACTATTAATATTTAATGATCTATTATATATCAGTAAAAAAATAAGTTTACAGTATATTATACTTTATTTAAACAATAAATTTTAAAATCTACAAAATACTTCTTAATAATAGATTATATAAACATTACTTTCAAACTTACAAAATACTTAAATATTTAATTTTTTAAATATTATATAGATTTTAATGCAATTTTTCTATTAAATAGTTTAAATTATTATCAAACTTGGGGAACATTTAAATTTTTAATATCATTTTCATGCAATTGTAAAATGCAATAATGTAATACTGTATATGTATATGTAGTTAAATATAATTTACAAATATTTTTTTGTCTATTTATTGTACTTTAAATCTATTTTATGTTACCCATATTATGTTTAGTACTAAATATTAATTATTAAATAAATTAATAAAAATTATTATATGAAAAAATACAAAATAAGTTAAAATGTATTTTAATACTATAGTTATAAATTTAAGTTGTCTTGCATTTTATATATATACTTTTAAAAAATTATTTATGATTCCTGATTAAAATTAAAAATGATAGAACTATAAATTTATTTAATTAGTAATAAATAGATAATTAAATTTACGAATATTTAAATTATTTTTTATTTTACCGAAAAGTGTAGACTTTGATTATACACATTCTGTATAGTATTATATAAATTTTAATTCTTTAGTTTTTATCGATTTTTGCGCTAATGTTGTCTTAAAGTTAGGTCTGATTTAATAATCAATGTTCTAATAGAGCTTAAAAATGAGGAATTTGATCGATACATACAGTATATTATATTATTATATATATATTATACATCTATTATTGATCAATATATTGATTTTATTAAATTAAGTAAACACAGTCATAATGTATAATATTATTACAAATTTGATAAGTTAAAACCTAGACTAGATAAATAACTATAATAATAAAAATATATATTATTATAAGATAAATAACAAATAATAATACAATTATAATTATAGTACTCAGAGTGTGCACACACATACATGTGATATAAAACAAATAAATGCAATCTAATGACTAGATTAACAAACAATAACTACATAAAAGTTGATTAATTAAGTATTAATAATTAACAGAATTAGTGCTAATTAAATATATCATATAATCAATTATTTTTCAATTGATTTTTTAAATAAAATTCTCTCTCTTTATTTAAAGTATAAAATGTAAACTCAGACAAAACTCTTTGTCCAATGAAACCAATCATAGATTCAATGATATAAGACATGAGTTTATGTTTCCAATGACCATAAGTACTGTTTTCAATGCCAACTGTATTGAGAGCGGCTCTTACAAAGTCATGAGCCGAGACTGTAAACCATGAGTTGCCGTTGCGTTCCGTCAATAGCTTTGTTTTGGTCATCGATGGCATCACTGTCTGTATGATCACTCCTTTGGACTTATACTCAGTTGACAATCCATCGGATAAGAAACGATTAAAAGCTTTAGCTATTAATTTGACAATCAAATCAAAAATAATATAATTTAAACTATTTTATAGCATATTATCAATTGTTTGACTCACTCGCAGAATAAGTGGTCATCAAAGGTATGGCAAAGAGTGCTGTTTGTGACGATATATTGATGACAATACCTCTTCTTTGTTGAATCATTTTTGGCAAAACTATTTCAGATAATTTCAGATACGACAACATATTCACATTGACATACGTGTCGTTCATTTTCGGGTCAATGTCCATAAAATACTCGGGATGTTTGTAAAGTGTACCGACATTGTTAACCAACACATCGATGACATTCAATTGGTTCAACTCTTGGGCAATCTTTTGGTAGATATCCGTCCGATTGAAGTCAACGCAAATGATTTTAATCTGAAATTTAATCACAAGTTAGTCAACTAAGATATTGCTGGACAACAAACCTGTCGACAGCATCGGTAAGTATCGATAATCGATGCTTTAGTGGCCATCAGTTTGTCTTCATTTCTGCTAATTATCACCAAATTATATCCCTTTTGTGCTAATTGTTTGCAATACTCTAATCCGATACCATCGGTGCCACCGGTGACCACTGCCCACACATCATCTCCCGGTTTCCACTGAACGCCAAAACCTAATTTGTTGGCTAAATATGTTGTCCAAAGTCCTCGACAGACACTTAGTGTTATCTTAAGTGATGTTTTTGTTACCAAAACTATGGCTATTATCTCAAGTATTGAAAATTCACGCATTTTTTCCACTAAAGTGTTGAATGTTTTTGTTTACAAACAAACACTCTGTCAGACAATCATTGCTATTGTGCTGACAGTCGTCACTACACTATCTGTTGGTATATTAATACTCTAATAATTGTAGTATTAATTAATTATGAAATAAATTAAATATTGTATACAATCTATAGGTTGTACTGTAATAATCATTAAATGATTAATTTAATAATCGATTTAATAATTGTTACATTTATATAACTATAATATATAATGACAATTTTTACTTTTATTTATAAATTAATTTTAATACAATAAAGATTTATAAAAAAAAAACTTTTAGAAACTTTACAATTTATAAAAACCAAACCTTAATTGTTGTTTTTTAAATATACCAACAATTATATAAGTAATCTTATCTTTAATTTTACTTAATATCTATACATTTATAACTTTATCTAGATATTTTTATTTATTTAATAAGATATATTTCTTCTATTTAATTACTTAAAATTAATAAATTAAAAATATTAAATATTTATATAACCTATATATAAGTTGACGTTTGGTTGATTAGATGAATAATTAAATTTATCAAAAATTTATAAATTTATTTTAATTAAATAACTAGATATTAAATGTATAAATTTATATACAATATATTATTTATGTATTCAAGATTTTAATGCATAAATATGAATCTGTGATTATAATTTTATATTGGTTAATTTTAAACAAGTAAATGTCTATTTTCATCAATAAGTTGATAACATTATTGCAAAATCATTGTGAAAATAGCCATAATTATAGAAACTGACCTCAATTTGGCGATCACTTTCCGATTCTTCAAAAATAGTAATCATAACTATTATATGATATATAAAAAGTTTGTAACAGTTTTTTGAACCCAAACTAGCAGTTGATCATCAAAATTAATGTAAGTTTTACACATTTAAACCTAACTTATTATATTTAACACATAATCTGTATCACTGTTTTGTGTTAAGTCCACCTTAAACTGGTTTATAAAACAGAGATTTAAAAATAGTTTAGTTTAAAAATCAAATTATCCATTAAATAAGTAATATAAAAATTAATCAATTTTTCAGATGAAAGTTATAGGAGCTACTGATAAAATTAATATTTAAATATATCAAATTTGACTATAGCTAAAGCAAATATTAAATTTATTAATTTTAATCTCTCACTAAAAGATTTAAAATATTAAAAATATGGCGAATAATGGAATAATAACATTATATAAAATATTTGTTTTTTTATTTGGTATTTTAATTTTATTATATCTAAATTTAATTAACTCTTCAATATTGAATGTTTTCACACAATTTTGTCAATTGAGTGGTTCTTTAATTGTAATAATAAATATTTCGTGGTATTTGGCAAATAAATTGAGAGAAAAAAGTCAATTGGAGTACATATCACCCAAAAACCGAGCGGTTCTCGTGACGGGATGTGACTCTGGATTTGGACACCACGTATGCTATCAATTAGATTCATATGGATTTTATGTGTTTGCAGGCGTTTTGGACACCAATAGTGAAAGTGCCGAAAAACTTCGCAACAAATGTTCAAATCGGTTAAGAGTTATCAAACTAGACGTAACTCAAGTGGAAGATATAAAAAGTGTGGTCAAAGAGATAGAGGCTTCAGGTGTTGAACTGTGGGCTGTTCTCAACAATGCTGGTATCGCTCAATACTCTTTGGTTGAAATGGGACACGAAATCGATGTCTTTGAAAAGATATTTGCTGTCAATGTATTTGGTTTAGTCAGAGTCACTAAATATTGTTTGCCTTTATTAAGAAAGTCTGGCGGAAGGGTTGTTAATATGTCGAGTGTCGCCGGTTTGTAGTTCAATATATTTTTGTTAAATTTTAAATTATTATATAAACTTTATTTATTATTAATTATTATTTTATAATTGTTATTTATTATTTGTAATATTAATAGTTAATATTAATGGATATTTATAAGGAAAGAATATCTGTTTACAAATAATTATATTATTTATAAAAATATTTTAACTATAATTAGAAATTATAATTAGATATTATTAGGTAACATTTATAATTTTATATTATAATATAATATATAATAGTATAAACACATAAAAAATATTTATAAAATAAATTTACTTACCCGTGGATAATATTTTTAGGTCGGTTTACATTTTGGGGAATAACCGCTTACTGTATGTCTAAATACGCGGTCAGAGCTTTTAGTGATGGTCTTCGCAAAGAAATTCAGTCATTTGGTGTCAAAGTGGTCACAATTGAACCAAATATGTATAGAACAGAGATTACAAATATTGATATATTAACCAAATCTATTGATCATATTTGGCAAACAACTGATCCACAAATATGTCAAGACTATGGCGGACAAGGGTTTTATGAAAAGATAAAAAATAGACTCAAATATAATGTTATGATATCGAGACCACAAATACATGAAGTAATTGACACACAAACTAAAGCTATCACTGTTTGTGAACCTAATCTTTACTACCAATGCGCTGCTATTACCGAAAAACCCTGTCTTTGGTTTTTAGGTCTATTACCCGAATCAGTTCAAGACTTACTATTGACCGGAAAAATGTGGAAATTTGCTCTCGATTTCTATAAATGCAAACAATAATTAATAATTAATACAAAACATAAACTCTATAACGAAATCAATTTGACATTTAACTGTTACATAATAAATATACTGTAATTATATTTACATTTATTTTAACATTTTACATATTAGTTTTTATTTTTAATTTCTAAATACATATTATACATACATATCATACAACATATACGTATTTTATTAATTATATTTGTATAATATGTTTGTAGTAATGAAAAATTAAATAAACAATTATTAATTGCTGCAATTAAGTAATAATTTTAAAACAATTGCAAATGTTAAAAAATAACATTTGTTGTCTAAATATTGAAATTTGTTTATTTACATGAATTTACTAAACTTATATTCTAGATATTTATCTAAACTAATTAAATACAATTATATTGTATACATAATATAGTAAAGTTCTCCATTTGGTAAATACAAGTGTATTAAAGTAAATTTACACATGTGATGATCAATATAAATACATATAAAATTTTGTATTATTATATCTTACATAAAATAAAATCTACTTATTATCATAAATAATTAATATATCTATATAAATATTCTATATATTTATAAAGATTTTTTAAAAAGATTATATAAGGCATACTAAGCTATTTATTTTAAATAATGTATGTGAAAATTTTGAAAATTTGAAAGTTATTTTTTAAAAGACTTATAATTTTCCAGACAACTCATATATAAATTAATCTTTAGATTTACTTTACTTATATAAAAATATATGATTAGTTTGAATAATTTCTAATAATTAACATGTAGTAATATTTATTATTACACGTGTATTTGTTTACTTAAATACACTTATTGATAAAATAACAGATAAAAGTCTACAATAATTTACAGTAAAAATAAACTCTTGTAAGTTTATATAATTTATGATAATAATTATAGTTATTATTTGATAAACACTGATTGCTAATCATAATATGGTAACCATGTGTATATTGTAATAAACATTATATAAGTTATATTATATTTCTATTAGTAAAAATAATGTACTTTTCAAAAACTATAAACTTTTGTTATTAAAATTACTATTAATAATAATGTCTTGTTATTTTCAATACATTAAATAATTTTCAACTTACCGTAAATGTGTAATTAGAGAGTAAGCAAATATAGTGTACACAAAATTTGAAGACTTGTTGATAGAAAATTACAAATAGATATAACTATTGTTAAATATATTTATTAAAAAATAGTTGTATTGTATATATAATTATAGTTTTGATGTTTACCAATATTTTAATACAGTATATAAAGTATATAATTTTTATTTAGTATTGCATTTTAAAGATTCTTTGAAAGACAAAAACTTCAAAATCAGTCTATATTTCTAAATCCTTGAAAATAAATAATTAAAAAATTTATTTTCCTTTAAATTTAATTAAAACTCTACTTAAATTAACGTCTTGTCATTTAATAATTAGTATCTCCAACTCAGTGTAAAATTAAATATATCGAAAATGTCAGTAAATAAGTTTGTATGGATTGCAAGCTTTTTAGTAACAAATTTTGTATTAATAACATTTATATCACAAATTTGTTATTTATATCAATTATTTTGTGTATTATTGATATCACCGATCATTTCGTGGTTTATTTCCGGTGCAATATATCGCAAGATTTGTACCGAAAAAATATCGATTAATAATAAAGCAATTCTTATAACTGGTTGCGACACAGGTTTTGGTCATCAATTAGCCATAAAATGTGATAAATTAGGATTTTATGTCTTCGCCGGTGTTCTAAATCCGGATCAATTGGGTGCTCAAGAATTAGAAAAAGTTTGTTCAAATCGAGTGGAAGTGATTAAAATGGATGTCACTAATTATGACGATGTGGTTAATGTCATAAATAAGATCAAAAGCTCAGGACTTGAATTGTGGTCAGTTGTCAACAACGCTGGCATTACTATTAGTGCTCCGATTCAATGGGGATATGATGTCAAAGAGTTGACTAATATATTAGACGTTAATGTTTTTGGTGCCGTCAGAGTCACCAAACTATCGATGCCTTTACTCAGACAATCTAAGGGTAGAGTTATTAATGTGTCGAGTCTTGCAGGTAATCATCAATTTGCTATTTTCAACAATAATTATTATTTGACTATTAATTTATATCTAAATACTAATGTAGTGTTAATAACTAATAGAGAGAGAGAGAGAGAGAGAGAGAGAGAGAGAGAGAGAGAGAGAGAGAGAGAGAGAGAGAGCCGTTCTTTCAATCTAAGGGTTGTGAGTTCGAGTCTCTTTGAGATATGAATTTGTGTATAATTCTTAAACTCGAAATATTAATACTTAATACTTAAAATGATCACTCAAATAGTCTAATATAAAAAACAAGTTTGTATAGTCCTTGTATATCATTATTTATTATCATTATAAAAGTTATTGATTAGATTTATTAATTGTAATAATAATTAGGTCGCACCACATATGATGGCATTACATATTATTCAATGTCCAAACACGCCATCAGATCTTTTTCGGATGGATTGCGTAACGAAATGACAAAATTTGGTATAAATGTTATAAATATAGAGCCCGTACTCTATAATACATCAATTATGGATTGGGATCGTATGAGAAGTACTTTTATTAGTGTTTGGGATCAAACTCCTGAAGAAGTGAAGACTTTTTTTGATAAAAACTTTTTGGAAAAATACGAAAAATCGCTAAAAACTGTACTAAAAAGCACTCGAAATAACATCAATGAAGTGATCGATAATATGATTAAAGGCATTGTTCTCAAAGAGCCTCAAACTGACTACAAATGCGGCGGTTTTGTTGACTTTTGCATAACATTTCCGATGAGTTATTTGCCGCAAATTATTCAGACTTTTATATTTAAATTTGTATTAAAAAACAATTTACTTAAAATTTTGAAATAAATATTTAATTACAGCTATTGGCTTAAAAACAGATTATTTTTAGCTCATTTAGATTATTTAAATGAAATAGTCTATTATATTAATAGTAATGTAGTGTATTTTCTTTAAACTAAATATTAAAATATAGATACATATACTTATTTTTAATTTTTTATATTAATATATTTTGTGGGTATTTGTTGAGTTATTATATTTTATACTTATATTTAATACTTTATTTTTTATGTTGTTGACAAAGTTTAAAACATACATTATTTAAAACAAACATATATTATAAAGGATGCAAATTAAATTTTTTAAAATAAAACGACAATTTTTTTGTTCATTAAACAAATTGTTGTATAAAATATTTTATAGAATGAATTTAAATTTATTTTTTGTTATAATTTTATAATTTATTTTTATTTATTTATAAAATATAAGCTAAAAGAAATATTTAATTTTGATTCAATTTTAATTAAAATAATTGAAAAAAGTTTAAATGCTTTGAAAAATGAATTTTAATACACTAATAATTTTAATAATGTTATCAATAGATATAATGATTTGTAGTCAATATTTACAACTTGTTTGGAGCGATGAATTCAATGGACAATCGCTGGACTTTAATGAGTGGGATGTCGACAATCAATGGATTTCTGGCAACTGTTGGGGTCTCTCTTTATATATCCTATATTTAAGACTTAAATTTTAAGTTATATATTACAGTATATATATATATGTAACAAATCATTTTATAATTTCTATTTTGTTCATACGTTAGGCAATGGTATTGAACTAATTAACTGTTTTGTTAACGAAACCAAAAACATACAATTAAGAGACAATTGTTTAGCGATGACAGCCATTCGTGAAAATAAAGTCCATTTTGATAAACAATTTACTTCAGCAAAGATTACTACAAAGAAAAGTTGGACTTTTGGTAGGTTTGAGATCAGAGCTGCTCTGCCTTCCGGCAAAATGTTGAGACCATCGATATGTTTAATACCTGTAATAGACAGTAATAATTGGGCCATTGATGGACAAATTGATATCATGACTAACTCACAGAAGCCAACCCTTGGCAATGGTGTACACTTTAGTGCTTCGCCTGCAATATACAGACCAAACAAATATGAATTTATTGCTAAACCTAATGAATCTTACGATCACTTTCATACTTATGCTATCGAATGGACTCAAACACAGATTCGTTGGTTTTTTGATAATAACAATCATTTGACATTTAATATAAACGAAACGTTAAAGTTTAATCATTACAATCAATTGGGACAACCATTTGATAAGCCCTTCAAATTGACGATATCTCTGGGCGTCGGAGGAATATTTTTCCCAAATCAACAGTTAGATTACAATGACTACTATGAGTGGCAGTGCTCTGCACTTATCATGGATTACGTTAGGGTTTATAAATTTGTTAACAATAGCCATGAATCTAATTATAACAATATAAATGAAATTATCTCTAGAAATCAGATATGCAATTATATTATGTCATCAATTAGAGGAACTAAACCTATAGACCTATCCATAACAACCATTGCTTCAATAGTGAGTGCAATCTTATTAATAATACTCATACCTATTGTTATATATTTATTTGTGAGACAAAAGAGAGTATTAAAAATTAATAAAGAAGTTGCAGATGTTTATTACGATAATATCAGTAATAATGAAATTTTTGATAAACACAATGATATTAATGAATATTCTGAATATAACAGTACTAATGAATATAATTATTGTGATTACTCTAAAAGCAATGATTCAACAATAAATAAAGTCAATGATCCCATTGATCCCAGGTATCTGACTATCAACTAAAACAAATAATTTCAATTAAAATTAGTAAATTATCAATTTAATACTGATAACAATTATTTAAAAAAGTGTTTAGAGATTGGTAAATTTTATTATTGTATTAAAATATAGATAGATAAATATAAATTTTTAAACAAATTTCATTAAAAAATCTAGAAATTAAAATAATTTTCAATTAGAATTTAAAAACTAAATTAATATTAAATTAATATAATATAAATCATATTATAATTTTTTAATACTAATACTTTAAATACCATAATATGGAATATAATCCAAATACTGTATAAAAAATAATGTTATATAAAACATTTATTTCATAATTTAATATATTGCATAATATAAGATAAAAATTAAATACAAGTATACAAAACATGTAATAAAATGTCACAACAAAACAAATTTTAAAAAAATAATATTAACATTAGAAATTATAAATAATTTTTTATAAACTTTTCAAAAATAAAATTAAAAATTTATATTTTCGTTTATCTGTAATATAGTTAGATAACAATTATGACATTTAGTTTATGAGCTATTCAAACATAAAAATGGTATTAAAAAATGTGAATCATATATATATATATAATTCAATTGTATTAATAAATGTATTATTATTTGAATTATACAATTACTATAGTATTTTAGTTTAAAATTATTAGCTTATATATATATAATTGAATAAAAAATGTAAAATTAAATATTGGGTTGTATATAAAGTATTTTTTTAATTAACAAACTAATTTAATTTAATCATCCTATTAAAAAAATATAATACATAAATGAAAAACAAATTTTAAATTTCGGTAGATGAATTTATTATTTTAGTATTTTTATTTACATTTTAATCATATCATCAAAAGATGAAAATCAAATTAATTTTGCAAATGTGATAAAATTTTGGAATAAGAAATATATAATTATTAAAAAATAAAATATAAATAAAATATATTTACAACTATATAACGTTAAAGTATTAAAATAAATAATATATTAAATAACTTTATATGTATTAGCGATAAAACTAAATATTATACGGATATATTAGTGGAGAGATATTACATCAAAAATGACAAATAATATATTAAATGAATTAATACGAAGATTCGTCAAAAGAGTAGACAGACTTTACTCCCGAAGTGTCTCTATTGGTGTCTGTATTGCTATTATTTGATGGACTTCTGCAGAATCGCCACATTATAATACCAATGAATATTGCAATCAATGGCAGAATCGCTACCACAAGATATCCCCAATGAGTTTCATAATCGATATCATAACCAATATCAGGAAGATTTGAATTATAATCTTTAATTAAATTACAGTTTTTTTCACATTTTGGTGATCCCTGGCTTATTAATGGTGTCACCAAATTTGTAATAATAAATATTATTGATATTATTATAATTTTTAATATAAACATTTTATCATTATTAGTGAGCAAAATATGCTTTTTAGAAACAAAACTTTAAAATTTGATTTTGATTATCAAATATTATTTTTAATAAATCTTTTAGTTTGTTATTATTGAGATAATATATTTAATAGTTTTGCTAATTTTATTAATAATTCAAATATTTAATAAAACTTCATTTAATTTAAATTAAGTAATTTTAAATAAAAATTATTAACTATATTATTTTATATTCTACTCTTTATTTATGTGCACAAACAGTGATAACTGTTTTTGACAAATATTTTTAATATAAGGATTACTTTTAGTGAAGCGGTTGTCATTGGAAACACATCTCTGATTACATTTTATAAGAGATGTCTTTCCTCCAAAAGACTTACAGTCAATGCGCCGCTCAATACAAACCTAAACTCAATGTTTAGATAAAAGCATTAAATTATTTGTTTCATTGATTATAATCATTAAAATGGTATTAACAAACAATTATTTATTGTAGATATAAAAATTAATTATCAAACATTAATTACTGTATTTCTATGTTAATAATACTAAATATATGTATATTAAAGATTTGATTATTTTTTAATATAACTAGTTAAGTTAATATAACTAGATTATTATATTATTAATATTTTATTTTTATTAATATAATTAATAGAATAAATATAAAAATTTATTAAAAAACATTTATGAATAATGATATTATTATTTTAAAAATATATTAATATGAAACTTGTATTTTTACATAATTTTAGATTCTTTTAATCATTTTATTTGTCAAATAAATAATTAACGTAAATCTTGTTGTTATTACTGCAACACTTTATTAATACTTCATTACATATTTGTGATTATTATTCACTGAACAAAATAGTTATACAGAATATATAGTATAGATTCTATAATAAAAATTAAACATAAAATATATTCAACAGTTAGTTCATAACTTTTTAAGGCTATACTTCATTTTGATGTAAAATTTTGTAAAAAGACTTGTCATTAGTGTTGGCAAAAAAGAGGAATTTCTAGAAAGTTTCTAAAAGAAATTTCTGTCTATGGTATGGCCATGTTAATTTTGTTATCTCAATATTTGTCATATCGTAAAAATACATTATAATAACAATATATTATAATTATAGTTTTTGTAAAATTTTATTTATCAAATAATTATATTTTTATTTTAATGTAATGGATTCATTTTTTTTAATTTTCAATATTATTAAACTAATATTAATCACAGCGATAAAAATCAATGTAAATGTAAAATAAAATTTATAATCTTTGATGTATTGATTAAAAAATATAGTTAACTTTACAAATCTGCGAAAATAAATAAACTAAAACTGTATGTTTAGTATAAATACTATTGTAATGTTAAAGTATTTTTGCAGTTTTGTAAAGTCAACTATATTTTTGAATCAATTCATCAAAGTTTATAGATTTTATTATACATTTACATTGATTTTTATCACTGTGATTAATATTAGTTTAATAATATTGAAAATTAAAAAAAATGAATCCATTACATTAAAATAAAAATATAATTATTTGATAAATAAAATTTTACAAAAACTATAATTATAATTTAGATATTATAATCATATTAATTTTATATATAGGAATCCATACGTATAGTAGATCAGTGTACGGTATATCATTTTTTTATATTAATATACCGGTAGCACTACAATAGCTATAAATATATCCCATAGTTTAATAATAATGTAAAGTTTGTATAGAAATTTACTAGAAATTTTCTCATGAAAATTTATTAGAAATATATATTTGACTCTCTATTTGCCATTAAATGAAAGAAATAATAGTGTTATTAAACAAATAATGACAAAATCCCATAAAAATAATATTACTAAAGTAGTAGATACTTGTTTTACAATTGTTACGTCAGTTAATTTTATGACAAATTTCATCTTTATATAACAGCCTAACTCTACAACAGTTTTTGTTCACTATTTTTTAAATTAAAATAATATTTTTTATAAAAATACATTAATATTAATTTTAATAAGATTATGTATAATTATTATTAAATACTAATTTGACTTTTTCTATATTTTTCAATTTAGGGACATATAATACAATAGTAGATCTATATCTATACTACTATATAATTTGGAAATGTTTGTGCCATTTTCTGTCACGCAAACAATTACTTTTGATGTGTCGCGCGATTATTAATAATTTTAATTTATTAAATAAAATAAATTAAATAAAATATACTTTTTATAATACACTGTATATTATATATAGCGCGTGAAAGCATTGTTTAGTAAAGAGATAGATTGAGAGAGAGAGAGAGAGAGAGAGAGAGAGAGAGAGAGAGAGAGAGAGAGAGGGTATTGTTGCACGTGTTAACTATTGATACACATTTTATTACATGGATCTAACTAGTTACTATATAATTTGGAAAAGTTTGTGTCAAATTTGTGTAACGCAAACAATAACTTTTAATGTGTCGGCGATTATTAATAATTTTAATTTATTTAATAAAAAACAAATAAATAAAATATACTGTTTATAATACACTGTATATTATAAATAGCGCGTGAAAGCATTGTTTAGCAAAGAGATAGATAGATATAGTGAGAGAGAGAGAGAGAGAGAGAGAGAGAGAGAGAGAGAGAAAGAGAGAGAAAGAGAGAGAGTATTGTTGGACGTGTGCTGAGCTAACTATTGATAAGCATTTGATTACGTGGAGATTTGACTATTAATAGTACAAATCAATGTGTCATAAAATAAAATGTATTTAATGTCTGGTCGTAACAGATAAAGTAGTGGAATAATCAAAATATTAATTAGTAATAATTTATTTAAAACATATAATTTTTAATTATTTTTTAAATATAATAATAATTAAAAGGTAGGAATTTTTGCTACTCTACAACATATAAATTTTGTGAATATTGGGTTAAATTACATTTATAATTTACATTTATTTTAAAAAGTGAAAAGATTAAGATTAATTTTATAAAATTATAGTTAATATGTATGTATTTGTATTATAATTTTAAAGTATTTATACAGTATTTATAAGTATTGTCAAGTTAAATAATAATAAATTAATAAATTAATTATAAAACTACTATACTTTTAAAAAGATTATTTAATTAAAGCTGTATATAAATATATAATTTATTGAGTATATTTGAGTATTATATTATTGATAATTTTAGAAACTTTAAAACATAAAGTAATAATAATATTATTAATATTTTATAAATAAAAGATATTTTATACTAATTTTGAAATATATTATTATTATTATCTTTAAAAAATTAATTATATAATAAAGTTTGCATAAAGAGAGGAATAACTTTTTTGAAATTAAACAATTATTGTATCTTATTTTTATCAGATAATATTTAGTCAATGTTTGAAAATGTTTTAAATAGTCGTTTGATTATTAAATCATACGATTTTAGTTACATTTCAAAGTATACAAGTTTAATGATAGTGAAATATTGCAATTTTTGTATTTTATTATATGATATTATTTTAATAAACTCGTATGATTTTTTGTATATACATTTTTGTCATTTGTTAATCAAATCTTTAATAGTTTATTATATTAGAGCAAACATTGTGTGCTTTAGACACAAATAATCTTAAATATAACAATTAAAACAATTGAATTCACTATTGTGTATATTAATAAAAATTATAATGTATGACTTTAATATTATTTTTATTAATGTTTGATTTGAGTTAAATAATGTTTATTCATTCCTCAATTTTTCAAAAATCTCACTTTCAATGTTATTAAATTTGATCCGGATCATAGTTCCTGCTCTAATCAAATTAAATTTTAAAATATATACATTTAACTTATCAAAAATGTATATTAAAATAAATATTTTTGACAAACTTTGAGATTCAAATATTGCTTTTAGTCAAAATTATTGTATACACATGTGTTCAATGCAAGGTTGCACTTAGATATTCAATAAGAGAGAGAGAGAGAGAGAGAGAGAGAGAGAGAGAGAGAGAGAGAGATCATAGAGAATAGTAAACTAGTGTGCCTAACTAATATTAATAAAATATAATTATATAAATAAACTATATAAATAATAACTAATTAATTAAGAGTAAATAATAGTAAAACATATTAAATTAAATTAACTATAATTTAATTTAAAATAAAAACAATGACAATTAATGAAATTAAATGAATATATTAAGATTATAAATAATCAATTAAATATAGTAATAATTAAAATATAAATATTATCATTATTAAAAACAGAATATATTACGTAACATTGAAAATATAAGCATCCTTAATTAAAACAAAATTTTCCAAATAAAATTTACCATATTCAAAAATATGATTTTATATAGTATATTACATTTAGAATATTTATTATATGTGATATAAATATGCAATTTATTTTTATTTATGTTTTATTATTTGGCAACACTAAACTTTTTATTAAACAGTATTGTTTGAAATCACTGGTATTTTATTGGTATAAATGGATTAATTGATGTATTTTTATGTTTATTAATTTTTTCCTCTTTTACCATTTTCCTGGACCTCCTATTGGTAAATCCAATACCGGTTCACTGATTGTATAAGCAATATATTAAACATGTGACCATTTAATAAATATATTTATATGAGAAATGCTCTCATTATAAAAATCAACGTAAATGTTATATAATAACAGTTCACCTCCCAGTGCGCAAAAGCACATTTGATCAGACCATCACTGGTGTGCACCGGTATCTCAATTCTGTTTGGCATTAAATTCGTGATTTTTTGACAATTATTGTTAGTTTTTAAATTTTATAAAATTTTGTATTATTAATATTTGTATTATTAATTTGGTAAGTAATATTATTATTTAAAACTAATTTATACAATATTAATTTATTTATATATATTAGATAGAAATACTGTAATTGTATTAATAAAAATTATAATAATAATTTAACATATTTTTATAATATCAATAAAATATGTAGTAATATTAGTATAATATTTATTTTAATATTTTTAGATTAAGGTAATTTTAAAATAATCACGTGACTTATTTTATTGATTTAATTGTAATTGTTTGACATTAAGATATTTTTATTATTATTATACTTACTATTTATTATGTAATTTTTAATTTATATTGTTATATACAAAATAATGTAATATAATAAAGTAATTTATTTTAAGTAAATTATCCATTGGGACAAAAATGTTATATAATCATATATTTAACCTTTGATTAAAAATATAGTTAACTAATTCAGATAATATTTTAACTAGTTTTATTTTAAATAGTATTTTTAATAGTGACCTTTAATTTACAATTATAGTATTGTAATATTAAAGTATCTGTATTTTTAAGTTTGTTAACTTTGTTAACTAGTTATATTTTTAATTGAATTTAGTCAAAGTTTATTATATGCTCATATACTGTATTATATAGCGTTATATTACTAGCCCATAAATATAATATATACTTTAATTTAAATTTTTATTTCAGTAGTTTACTATACTGTATGCTCATAAATTTTTGTTTTTTTTTGTTTAATTTAGCAAATAATATTAAAAATTAATTTTAATTAGATTTAAACACAAAGACTAGAAAATGCCTCCAAATAATCAAACCAATGATAAATTGCCTGATATTATAAAATCAGATGAAAATGTGAAAAACGAGGACAAAACAGACGACAAGTGGAAGTGTTTGGATCACATTATTTGGACAAATGTCTTGTATTTTATTGGTTTGCTTTTGGCAGCTATTTATGGCGCTTATCTAGTCTTTACTGATGCTAAGATATTAACTACACTTTTTGGTCAGTTATTTATTTATTAATTATTTTTTAAGCTGTTAATTGACAAAATCAATATTAATTTTATTAACTAATATATATGTATTTAAATGATAAATAGGTGTATTTCTTTATCATATATCTTTATTTGGCATAACTGCTGGTGTCCACCGTTTATGGTCTCACCGATCATATAAAGCAAAGTTGCCGTTTCGCATAATATTAGCAATTTGTAACTCAATCTCTTATCAAAATTCAATCTATGAGTGGGGACGGGATCATCGGGTGCACCATAAATTTACAGAGACTGATGCCGATCCCGTCAATTCATTGCGTGGTTTCTTTTTTTCGCACTGCGGTTGGCTTATGTGTCGTAAGCATCCGGATGTCAAAAGGATTGGCGGAAAAGTCGATTTGAGTGATATGTTGGCCGATCCAGTGGTTTACTATCAGAAAGAGTATTATATGCCATCAGTGGTTGTCCTATGCTTTGTAATGCCAACACTGATTCCCTGGTATTTATGGTCTGAGACCTTATGGAATGCCTTTTTCGTTTGTGTAATGTTGAGATATATGGCTGGTATCAACTCTACCTGGTTAGTCAACTCAGCTGCTCATATGTATGGCTATAAACCATATGATGTAAACATAGCGCCGGTTGAAAATATCTCAATTTCTGCATTAACTCTTGGTTTATAACTATTTTAATATTATATATGTATTTTAGAAATATATATAATTTTATAATATTTATTAAATTAATTTATAGGAGAGGGATATCATAATTTTCATCACACCTTTCCCTGGGATTATTCAACAAGTGAATGGGGTTGGAATATCAATTTAACGACATTTATTTTGGACCAATTGGCCAAAATTGGTTGGGTTTATGACAGACGTTTTGTCACTAAAGATATGATTGAAAAACGCAAAGCAAGAACCGGACCAAAAGCTGACAAATATATACCTCACGAACACGAGTACTGACCACAAGTACCGATCACAAGAATATACAGTACAACAAACCTGTAATTGAATTTTTATCACCAAATCAAGACTAATGTTAATAATCAAAACAATCAAATAATTAATTTTTATTTTTTATATTTATAATTTTATTATGTTATAAAATTTAGAATTAATATACAGTTATGTAAGTTAATGTATGTTAATATAATTGTAATGTCTATTACTAAATAAATTATAAAAATATTATTTTTTCAAATTAGATTTTAATAAAATTCAACAAGTTATTGTTTAATAATTTAAGTTAAAAATTATTACATAATTAAAAATTTATATTAATATAAAAATTTGTTTATACTGTAACGGGAAGAGATATATAATAATAGAATAAAATGTAAATTTATTTCATATAACTTTTTAATGACATTTGATATTTTCCAAAAATAAACAACTGTTATATTTTTGTTTTTTATTAATAACATAAGTTGTTTTATATTTGATTCAAATGCAATTTAATGAGTAAAAATTAAATTATTCTTAACATATTATACTTATGGTATTTTCCGGGGAAATTGAAGAAATTTTATTAGGGATTTATTCCCACATTTTACTGTATATCCAACCCTTTGAAAGTTGCCCGAACTATACACTGTATACAATACAATGTAATTTTGTCAATGGCTATTATTAATAATGCATATGATTTTTTCAATATAATTTGATACAATCAATATGCAGTAAAATAATATTATATTTTCCAAACTATTAACTAAAATGTTTATTTACTTTAATAATTCAATTCGAGACACAAAGTAGGTTACAAAAGGATTTTCAAAAAAAATGTTATATAAATGTGTGAATTATTGTTAAATAAAGAAAATCGGGTAAAACTCGATTAATGAATCAAACAATCAAACGACGGGTTAATAGTTTTGTTGCTAACTTAGGATTACATCAAAACTGCTAATAGCTATGACTTGATTAATAAATATTACACAATAATACATTACTAACAATTAATATACGGTACAAATAGTACAAATATAAATTTAATAATAAAAAAAATTAAAATGTTAATTAGCACTTTGATATTTTTATGAAAGAATATAGTGTATATAATTTATAGTAATTAATTGATTCAATTGCTTTTAGAAAGTATTATTGTTTATAAAACATTATTTTTCTATCATCTAATTAATATAATTATAGTATTGTATAGCAATTCACTTAGAATTATAATACATGTAATACATGACCAACAAGTTTCTTATGAATTCTATATACAGTACATGTACTGTATTTTGCAGTTGTTTTTTAATTGTATGGTTAGATTTTGAGTAATATTATACAATATTTTCTTTATTTTTTTGTTTAAATTACTTGCGAGGATTACATGTGTTGATTTCAAAAAGATTAAACAAACTTAATTTATTAATAATCTCAACGATAATGGTCACTATAAATACATGTAACTTATAATTAAGATAAATACAAAACTTTTACTACATTTGAAACTACATAAATAGATACAAACATTGTAAATATAATATTATAATATATTATTTATATATTTTTTTTAACATTGAAGGTTAGTTAAAAATTTTAACTGAAAATATAAAAGCGTTAATTTTTTAGGCAACTCTTAGTTTCATTTGAAATAATATTTTTTAGAAACTGGTTTTAATACGTATACTAAAGATTATAATTAAGATATTATGTTAAGTCTTGACTTTATTTTCAGTATTATTGGTACTATTCTTATTATTTCTTAAAGTTATTGCAAACTTTCTAAAAATTTTAGTTTACAATTAAATTAATAAAAAAAAAACTGAAGATTTACAGAACGATTTCAAAGTAAATTTGATTTTAATTGAGATTTTGATTTGTTTATACAAATAATACACTTTTACTTATAATGTAGTATTTTGTTAAAACAAATTGTTTCTAATGTTTGAATGCGTGACTTTTTCGTGAATTCATATTAACTTTCAATACTTGTTTATTAGCTGATAACAAATGATGAAAATTTTATAAAATTCATACAAAGTTTATACCTGTATATTATATGTGTGTGTGTTTAATATACTGACTTTTTATATTTCGGTGAGACAAATAAATATTTTTTTAATAATTTTTTATTGAACTTATTTAATGTACAGTACTTTAAATATACTAAACTGTTTAGTCAATTAGAAAAATCTTAAATTATGTAATGTTTTTAAAAATAAAAATCAATAATCACTTTGAAGGACATATATTGTAATTATTTACTGTTCTATACCTGTATTTCATATGATTAAACAGTAGTAGTATTGATAGCGTAATATTTTAATTTATGATTATATTCGTGATTCAACTTAAATTAAAACTCAAATTATCGTTTGTTTTGAATACAATCATTAAATAATAAATGATTTTTTTCGTTTCATAAGGATTATCAAACAGTCTTTATGTGACGTTATATAAAGGAAGACCTGAATAATAGACATTCCCATCTCTCCCTCTCTCTCTCTCTCTCTCTCTCTCTCTCTCTCTCTCTCTCTCTCTCTCTCTCTCTCTCTCTCTCTCTCTCTCTCTCTCTCTCTCTCTCTACTGACATATAATTTTAAAGCTAATATAACCTAATTCTAAAGTTTAAAAATTAAGTTTATTATAGTTTATGATTTTGAATGTTAGAAACACTCTACAAACCAACCAAACAAAAAGTGCTATTGTTTATCTATTATTTTAATTATGAAATAAATTTATATTACATTATGAATTGTTTAAAAAATATTGAATACATTGATAATGTATTTGAAAATATATTAGTAATTGAAAGTTTTAAATTCTATTATAAATTGTGATTTATTTTCAGTGTTAGTTTTGACAAAATTTAATTAAAATGTTATTATTTGTTCATTAAGTTAAACATTTGTTTTAATTATTTTTCAGTTAATTGATTTGCATTTAACTAATTACTAGTTTATAAATAATCCTGTAATTTTTACTGCATTTCAGTTATTTTAACAAACTATTATACACTAATTTGTTAAAATATATTATGTGAAATATACTGTATCTTTCAATTTATTTTATAAAAATTATAATATAAGTAAACTTAAAGTGTCGCCAATAGAATTTATTATAATTAAAGACAATTTAGTTAAAATTAATTTTTATACTACCATTATTGAAATTATAATTTTGTGAAAGATATTTTATCTGAATAATATTTTGACTTTATTTTGGATTAATTACTATCGTAAGTTAAAAATATAATAAATTAAGTAATTTTTATAACTTCCTATTTATTATTATTTTTTCTAATTGTTTATATTTTTATAAATTATATCTAACATACTAATTTATATTATAATTAAATCAATATTTTGTAATATAACAATATAAATAATATTTACGTTATGTATAACATGAAATAATAATGTTATAAAAAATACAAACTGATTTAATTATTAAGATTAATCAGGAAAAACATAAATATATAAATATTTATTCTAAAAAATTATTTTATTGTTATTAAAAATATATAAAAATCGTAATAATAGTTAAAAAACAAGTTTTTGAATTAGAGAAGCATTTTGTCTCTCACTCAATGAGACGGCTGTTGTTCAATGTTTTCATTTACTAATACAGTATTATAAGTAGTATTATATTAGTGGCATATTTTCTAAATATAATATCATAAATGTTTATTATATTTTTGCTTTTAATTTAGTAAAATATTGTTTTTTTAGATTTATAATTATAAAATAAAAAATACTTTTTAAAAAAATGAATAACAAAAAAGTAAAAGACGATCGTTTGCTGTCATCGACTAAAAAGGCATCACTTATGCAAACTATGAAAGTGTTTGAAACCATTTTGGAAGACTTAAAGTCAACTGTTTTGGTGCCGACTCTACTCAATGACATCGACTCTCAAACAATGGCTAAGAATGGTTTGACTGTTATTTGCAGTCATAATCAAAACCTTTTTGATGTCTACAATGATTTACAAAAGTTAAGCAAAATTTTGTTTGGAGATAGAAATCAATCGGAGATAAAGTGCATAAAGTTTGTATTTTTATATTATTATTTTTAAATCAGTTTTTATCAGTTATCGATAAATGACAATTAATTTTTATTATTATTTCTGGCATTTAAATAATTAATAGATTAACAATAAATACATATTGTATTGTTTATTGTATTGTCTATGTATTATTTATCATAATATATTTTAATATTTAGACTTTACTAAACTAGTACTAAACTTTATTATGTGTTTTATCATTGCAAATGTTTTTAATCATTTGTCATTATTGATTAATTATTAATTATTAATTTGACTAATATTAATAATAAACAATAATTATATTTTGTTATATTTAAAAATGATTTTTTAGAATACTACCTTTTAATTGTTATAAACTATATTTATAAATATTTAGCATTTAATTTATAACATCAAATCAATATTTTGATTCAGTAGCTATGATACTGATGTAGTATAATTGTATATGTTAATGTATATGTAATATAAATGTATAGCAATGTACTGTATTTATAGTATAACTACAATATACTGTATGATTTCACAACACATCTTATATAACATTAAAACTTGAATAAAACAGTATTAACTAAATTAGATATTTCTAAATAATAGTGATATAGTTTTATATAAATTTGTATAAAACTTGTTATTATTTATCATATATTTAATATACTGTAGTAATTATTTGTTTTTATGCAATTATTTATTAAATACAGAAATTTGATAGTATAGCATTTTAATAATGTAAATATCTTTTTAAAAATATAGATAAAACTAAAAAAAAATAGTAATATTTAGGTGTGTTTGTGTGTGGAGTGATATAATCGATTAAATTTACATATAATTATGTTGTACTTATTATAGCATATGTTTTATATAATATTTGTGTTATATTAATATTCTTTATAATTTATATATATATTTCAGTTCCGCAAAATTTAGTCTTAACTCGTAAATAAAAACCTAATTATTGTACTTATAATCAATCAATGCTAAAAAATGCAATAATAATAATAAAGTTTAGTGCATTGAATAATAGTAAATGTTTATATTTTTAAAATAATTGAATATTGATTTTTACTTAAAATTTTTAAAAATTATTTTTTATACAATTTAATTTAGCGGACGAAATGATATGAATGGTAACAATAATATTGAACATAAAAATGAAGACAATGAATATCTGGCAAAAAAAGACAATTTGTTGACTAAATTTGAGTTTCACGTCAAACAATTGAGACATATATTGACTGATTTGTGTGAAACCGCTGATTATATTAGTAATGTCTATAAAGAGGACGTTCACAATATGCATATGAATTACAATAACATTGAGTATAATAACAGTGAAATCAAACACTACTACACAAGCAATTCATCAATTGATCAAAACCTTTAATCTTCAATTAAATCCAAAGTATTCATCATATTTTTGAAAACATCTTTTTATTTTTCCATTTTATCTGTTATTTTTAATTATTTTTAATTACATAATTTTTCAAAAGACATCAATTGTTTTAAAAGTATGAAAGTAATAGAATTTTTTTAAAAACAAAAATAAAGTAATTTGTTTTATAAATAAATAAATTTAGGCTAAAATCGATTCATTGAATTATTAAATAATTATATACAGATATATTTTACTTATTAAAAATTTGAATAAATACTATTGTCTGTAAAATATTTTATGTAAATCTTTTTAAAATAATTACAAAAAAATCTATAATGTTGATTATGTGATTAAAGTAATTTTATTCAAAATTTAAGATAAATTTATTTATAATTATTTATTATGATAAAAAATTGCATCGAAAAATATGAAATAATTTAATCTCATTCTAACAGAGAAAATAATTAATGAGTACCTAAAATGTAAAATCAAACAAATTTATGTCACTTTTGATAAATAAGTTATCTTAATATAAATAATAATTTTAAAAATTAATTAAATCTAAAAAATAGAAAATGTATAAAAAACATAATTATCTAATTAATGAAAATTTTATATTGAGATTATAATACAATATATCATTATAAATGAAAAACATGTTTTTCTTCGAGACATTCAATGAATTGTCGATAAATTGCATGTTTTGTGCCGAAAATCAGTTCAATTCTATGTCTGGTCTCTGAAATGCAATCATTTAAATGCTTTATGTTTTCACATTTATTCCTAAGTTTGTGACTTAAAATAATGATTAGAGTTGTGATAAGGTTTGGATGATATTTATTATAGATTTGATGGTAAAGTTTGATGAAGATATCGGTTAATACATTCAGAACCAACCAATTGGGTAATTCTTGACGGGATTCTTGTTTCAAAAGATACTTAATTTTGTTGAAAACATCGAAATCAATGTATTGATCGCCAGACAAACATTTAGGACAAAAGCATTCAAAATATAAATATTTTAAGAGATGTTTGTTTCTCATTTCAACTCTAACTTCGAGATCACAGTAATTGATGGTAATATCTTCGCCGATCGCTATCTTTTCAATAGCTTTAAGTATAAGTCTTGAGCCGCAATAAGTGACGGCAGAATTTGGTCGACACGAGTGATTGAGAACCGATGCCTTCATATAGAGACCCGAACCGATAATTTCACACGAATTCACTTTGTGGTCAATTATCTTAAAATGATTAATCAGATAACGACAGTAAAGTGTGAACAATAGATTGCGACTTAAGATAAATGAAAACTCTTTGGCATAATATACGAAATTGTCGCACAAGTAGTCAAATATTTTCATACGATTGTTGTCACGCGATATTAGATCCAAATGGGTCTCCATATCATTAAACCGACGAACCTTTCCGTTGTATATTTCATAACACTTGTCCTGAAGAGACATGTCTTTGTCGTTGATCACCATTAGGTATAGTCTAAGCATAAGTCGCAACATATATTCTTCCAGATATGGACTATAATACGGTTCATATATATGACACTCGAGTTGATGACATCGTCGGTCAAGTGTCAGACAGTCGGCGCTGCAGTAAAACATGTGATGACAACCACTGCACTCATAGATCATCTGTTGTTGACCAGTGATGGACACAAAACAATTGTCACATACTTTGCGTTTCTTGTTGTTAACTATTGTGTGGACTAATGGTTTACAATCGATGATTGTGTCACCGATTTCATACTTTTTCACTGACATTGTGGCCAAACATGTGTTCAATCAATCAATTAGTGTAACCAATGATTAACTCATTCAATGACTCAATCAATGCTTCAATTATTGAATGCATTCAATGAGTGACTCAACGATTCAATGGAAATATTAGTCACTCTTACAGTTAAAGTCATGAACTGTAAGACAATTGTAATAATAATTGATTTGTTTGTTTCAAATCATCTGAAAGTTTATTCTGGTTTTGACAGCAATTGAATCCATCATTTCATTCAAATATTATTTAATATCAAATCATTTTATTTTAAATAAATATTTCAATAAAAAACAAATAACAAATAGTTTTATAAAAAAATTTGAATATATTTTGATAAATAATTAAAAACATATTATCACTAATTTATTGTCTAAACATATATATCATTAATAATGATATGTGTGTCCATTTTGCAGTGTCTTTGATCCATTGCTAATGTAATTGAAGCCAATGTTATGATGCGATTGATTGGCGTATTTCAGTAATAAATTGCTATCACTTTTAGTGTACGGAAGGATTGGTTTTAGTTTTTCTTCTGACATTTGATCGTATTTGGCCTAAACATGACATCACAATAATATCTATAATCATATTACAAGACATAAAACTAATATCAATACTGACCTTATTATAGTAGAAAACGCCAAATATAGCAAAACTCATACCCAAGACATTCATAGGTGTCACCGGATTCTTCAACATTATTACAGAACATGTGATAATTGCTATACGTTTGGATGCATTACACACGGAATACGTCAGCGGTGTTACCATTGATAGCACCGTAAAGGCGATGACATTTTGCAAAAAGTTGGCCAAACCATCGATGAATAGGAATAAGGCAACGATCCAACCGTCCAATGTTGTCGTACTCTCACTGTATAGTATGTCGAGGAAGTCGTGCCAAAACCAAATGGGAATAAACATAATGAGTGCCAATCGGGCCAACACGTGAAGCAATCTTATGTGATGTAGTGATGTTTCACGCATTACCTGATAATTTAATAATTAATAAAATATTTTTTATCACAATATGAGACAAACCTGTTTAGAGAAGATATTCTGTAAAGAAAAGACAAAGATTGAGAAGAGAGCCGACACGAGACCTATTATATTGAACTCAAGTTCAGTGATAGTGGCTATAAGTATGCCGACCACTATTGGCGCCAATGATAGATAAACCTAATTATTTCATACAATTGTTATTATATTTCATATAAATGTTATGCAAACTCAAGACATACTTTTGTCGTTTGTTTTTCTCCTAATAAAACTCTCGACAAAATCACTACAAATAAAGGCATCGAAGCCTTCACTAGATATTCAAAGAAATAAAATATTTTATTATTATTTGAAACAATTAAATCAATTAAAGATTATTCTCTATTATTATCAATATTTATATCAATTATATGACAATATAGTCGATGGCATACCTGTGTGAGCGTATGACACGGGAACAGCCCATAGACTGATATGTGAAGAGACTGAAGCAAAGAATTTGCCGAAAGCCAGAGGAATAATGATCTTCACATAGTATGACCACTCAAGAGTCGGCTCACGTTTGCCACGACTGATCAGTGATAGGGCTGGCAATGAATATATGGTGATTGACAACAACTGCACGATTGTCACAGTTATCGGATAAGGGAATGACTGGAGAAGTAGTTTACCGATAACACCATTTCCAGCACTTGTTATATACCATAACAAACATAGGATAAGCACTCTTATGGCTGTATGTCTGCCATTAGGCATATCTCACACACAACTAATTGTGTTGTTATTCAAACAAAATAAATAATTAATAACTAATTAATTGTCAGTTAAGTTAATGTTTTGTTACAAATGTAATAATCTGTATAAAACATCAAACATATGATATTAATAGATAAGGTATGTGTCAAACACCTACCAGTGCTCTCATGCAACGTGTACTACATTCACATAAATATATTTAATATATTACTATAATATTAAATACACATTTCATTCATAATACAAAATATAAAAATTTTATTACATTTATTATACTATTATATATTTCTCTAGTTTTACAGTCAAATACAGTCAACAAATATCGCTTTGATAATTGGGTTAACGTCCAGTCATCTCAAAGTGTATTAAACTCAATCTTACTATAAATATTTAACATTATATGATACATGTGTACAGTATGTAAAGCTATCTACACTACAGTTTACCTTGGTGCAACAATTTTATACAATAGATGTCTATCTAAGTCAAATCTAATATTATAATTTACATTTTTTATTTATATTTTATTTATTTATAGTAATGACACTTTTTAAATAAAAAATGTAAATTATAATATTAGATTTGATTAAAAAATAATAGTTGAAAATATGTGTTTTTATGCTATTCATAGACTACATATGCATTTACACAATACAATGATATCATGGTATTTGAATAGACTTGTATTAGATAGACATCTATTGTATAAAATTGTTGCACCAAGGTAAACTGTAGTGTAGATAGCTTTACATACTGTATAATGTATTAATATTAATAATACTATTATAATTTATTATTATTAATAAATGATAATGAATTTAAATTATTCTAACAAATGTAAAAAAGTAAGTTCACAAACAACTACAGTATAAAAATTATATATTTATAGATATATATAGAGATATATATATAGATATAAAGTTAATTTTCAATAGGCTTTAGTGTACAGTATTTCTTAATAATTAAAATTATTTTACAAACGAGTAGTTTATTAAATGTTATAAAATTAATTTTTTTTTATTATATCCAAACTTTGTAATAATCTCTTACAGAATGTGGCAAACATTAACTGTATTGCAATGATTAGAAAACTATTATCAAAATAATATAAACAATAAAAATATTATAAATAACAATTGTATATAAAAATACAGTAGTTTTAATTAATTATAGTTATAACTAAAATCATAGTAAAGTAAGTTAAAATTTACAACAAAAAATGTTTAACAAAATTATATTTACAATTGAAAAATACTATCTAAACGATTGAGTAGTTAACTGTTTAAATCACCCAAATTTTCAGATGTATTATTGTTGTCATTGTTTATTACACATATAAATTGCATACGATTTAAATGTTTGTTAAATATTTGCCAATCGGTTCCCATACGGACTTCACTAGTAATACCAATTCTTTTGGCAATTCTGAGAACAAATGATTCATTTTGTTGACATCTAATAATAGCCCAAAAGTCATCACAATTATTGACACTTATTTTAATAACATTGTCGTCAACTTTCTTCCAATGTGTTCCCTCTGGAAATGTATCAACAATTTCTTCTCTCATCCAAAGTCTATGTTTACCATCAATAACCCAAACACCGTTTTTTCCGATACTTATCTGAGTTAGTGGACATTGAGGTCGCGGTGCCTCTACATGAAACCAAACGGTTCCCGCGGGAGACGTGCGGTTAATGCCATGCCTTAAAAAAGCCGAACCATCTGTAGCTATGGCCCAGACTTGAATAAAGTTTCCATAACCGCCAACACTTATATCACTTAAAGGTTGTTCACACGAGACGTGTTCCCACGACAAACCTTTGGGATTGATTCTACTCACACCTAATCTACATAAAGCGTGTCCATCAGCTGAAACAGCCCACACGTTAAGTATTACTTCACCAATGGATTGGCTTTTAAAATTTGAACAATACATCGATGCACTGATTATAGGAGTTTTTGACATATCTATGAATGGACCCGTAGTTGTAAGTCTAGATCTTCGAATCCAACGTCGCCGACGAACATAATCTGTGAATCTTCTTTCTGAATGATATTCAAATGGGAAGTCAATGGCATACTGCCAACCCTCAGTGTCTACGGCACCGTTATCTACTGTATAATCTATACTCCACTCACTGATCCATTGCCAATGTTTTGATAACAATTTCATACTATCTTTTAGTAATTCATATCTTCCTGTCTCATCGCTCCACATATAACGATCAGTGGGCAGACCTATCGTTAGATTTATAAATTTAAAAAATTGTATTACATTAAGATTACGGTAATGTTTGAGTTATTTAAAAATGTTATCATTTTTAACTCAATCAGTAAATAAGATACCTTTAGCTGCAAAACCAGTTAATGGATTCCAGCGTTGATTTTCATAACAAATATAAGACATTGTATCCGTCATTTGATTGCAATTATTGTTAGCACCCGTAACTGTTTGATAAATACCACCTCCTGTGCCTCTATTATGAATCCACAGAACATTTTCATAAGATATTGCCCAACAAATATCAAGACAAACACAAACTGATTTAAAATGACCTCCGCTTAACAAATAATAAAATATATTGTCTTCGCTAATAGTATAACCAACGTATAAATCTCCTAAAAAAGCAAATTTTTAGAAAATTTACTATTTTATACAAATTTTCAAACCTTTATTTGTTATGCAATATAGCAGAGCACCAGATAGTGAGGTAGTAATTGAGTTACTAATACCGTGCAAATCGGCACAAACTGTATTAATAGTGGCCAACCAATCATCCATTTCATTATCAGTTTGAAATTTTAATTTTATAATAGCATTGTTTGTTATAATAAACAAACAATTGTGTGGTGAATATAACGTTACATCAATTGAATCAATAAAAGAAGTAACAATTTCGGCCAAATTTAATACAATTTTCTCTGATTTTGTCTTTTGATGTGATATTGAATAAGTGATGGTTAGAGTCCCGCTTTCGGTATTTTTCTCGACTCCTTGTCTTTCTAGTTCTAATAGTCCCGAACACCAAGTAATCGATGTTTTATCAGTTGTTTTCGCCACAAAACAAGTACCAGATTTTATCCAAACACCAGATTCAATAGCTTTAGGATAGATTGACATAAAATCTTTCATTTCAATTTCAATCCTATTTCATTTCAATTAAAACATATGTATAGTACAAAATTATTAATGTTTTAATTTATTAACATTTATTAATTAATGACAATAATATCAATGCAAACCTTTTATTTAATTGCATTAATATATTGCTTTTCCATTGACAGTCTTCACAATTTTTATCAGATGTATAACCAATTGACAAATCAAGAGATGATTGCGAGTCATGAGATGATTGAGAAAATTGAAAATACGAATCAATTTGTAGCGAACAACACGCGGCCGATATCCAAATCCACGCTTGAGTTTGATTATCGGATAAACTTGAAAAACATGAGTCTTGAGATGATATGCTTATTGAATCCAATTGTTGTTCAACGCCTTTGTTGACAATCTTTTGGCTGATATAGTTAATAGGCTGTTGTGATACCAATTTCCATGACTTTCCAGTCAGCTCTCCGTAAGTAATTCCTGTCCGATAATAAAGACATTTCTTGTCCGGACTCAGAGCCCAAACCTGTTATAAATGATAATAATTTAGAAAACAAGAATAACGAAGATTTTAAATATTCAAATACCTGATCGTTAGTAGTGACAGACAATAAAGACATTTCTTGAAGCATTTCAACCCAACCCGAGCCGACCGCACACTTATCGTTATGACCAGAGTTGAGTCCGCGCACGCCTTTTCGGAACCAAACCTTTCCATCCCTGGTTAGAGCCCAAACACCATCCATTCCAACAGATATTTGCATTAATTTAGACTTATTTGGTGCGTCAACTCTAATCCAATTGTTACCAAAAACATTATCTCTGTTAATACCGGTTCTGACTAATGCCGATCCGTCCCAAGCAATGGCCCAAACAAGACCTGATGGACCACAAGATATTTGGTTTACTTCCCAACCGGTAGGAACTGAAACGTTAATCCAAGAAACACCTTCGGGTGAGTACTTCTCGATGCCTGTTCTATACATAACTCTGCCAATGATAGTAACGGCCCAAACAGCTAATACTCCATTATTAGTTCCGTGTACTTCATAACCACCCGTAGATATATCAATAAATGGTTCGGTAACATAATCACCATGAATTGATTCCAAAAGTGTCCATTCATTCACCGCAACATATCTTTATTATAATAATACAGTAATTTATAAATAAAACTCTTTAATTGATAATAAAGTCATTCATCAGACCTACGAAACCTAAGCCAACGTCTCCGCCTAACCATTGAATTCCAACGCCTTTCGCTCGAAAACTTCATCGGAAAGTCAATAGCATAAGACCAGCCCTCGGGCTCTAAGGGTTCGCCTTCAATGTTGTTGTCGACATACCAATCACTTTCCCACTGCCATGACTTTGATGGTAATGTAAAGCTATCCTTAGGCAACGCTAACGTTCCGTCGGCACAACTAAAAGCCGGTCTGTCGGTCGGCAGTAATATCTTTGAACTAAACTGTGTGACCGGATTCCACCTCTGGTTCTCATATGTCAGAGCACACACTCGGATCGGTATATCACTGGCCGGCAAATAGATGTAAATCTGATGATCGCCACCAATGGCCCAAATCGACTGCGGAGCCGATGATAAACGCTTGAACTCCAATCTTTGATAACTTAATTGTGACCACTGTTTCGTCTTTATATCCAACGAATGGACAATACCGCAGTTGTCCACTGACCACAAACATTGACATTGCATTTCATTCATATGTTATTCAATCATAACATTTATACACCACTTGTCTCATCTCAAGAAGTCTACTTTGGTTTTAATAATAATTTAAATGTAAACATCGTTTTGACATTTGATTAACAAAAATCATTGTTTGACACAAAACTTACCGTTAATTTAATATCAATATTGAAATTAACACTTAAGTCACTTAAGTTTGCATTTGTTTAGTGCATCAAAATGTTGTCAACAATTATAACTATTTATGTTATTCAATGCATAACTAAATCTATTAATTGTTATTAAAATAATATTTATATGTTTTGTTGTAATTTGCAAATAATAATAATATTATTATTATTATAATTATTATATTAATAGTTATTGTTATTTATTATTATATATTATACTGTATTAAACATATGTCTGGATTTTGCGCACATTGTTTCATATAATTACTATTACATCACATTATAGGCGATAACAACAACTAAAGTACTGTAATTGAAATAATTGTATTAAAGATATTAATAATCTTTTAATATGTAATAATAAACTAATTGTTGTCCCAATCGGCAAATTTTTACCACATCTGACCACAAACTGCGGTACATTTAATACATTGATATCTCTATTTTGTCCGCTATATTGTTATGCGGTTAGAGAACTACCGAGAAGTACAATATATTTGTTTATTATTGTAACTGATATTTAAGTTTATTTTTAATTAAAAAATCAATGATTCAATTCATTGTTTCAAAATATAATATTAATTATTGCTTATAAATACCAAATACTGAATATAAATATAGTATATCATTATTAATAGAAATTTTTATTTATGTAAAATTAATTTTATTAATTAAATTCTTTATTTTTATTATATAAATTATTTGTCACAAAATATACAAAACAATAAAAATATCGACATAAAAAGTTAATATAAAATTTTTGTATAATATATAATAAATAGTTACATATATTAAGTTATTTATTTATATAAATTTAATGTAAAAAATTTGCTTAAATTAATATATTAAAAATGTCTATTTATATAAATTCACTTATTCTTTGTCACTGTTTGTATAATAATTTATATATCATATAAAAAAGCCATTGACTTAGAAATATGTTAACAAATTTATTTTTTAAAAACCCATATAAAATGTGCAATAAATATACTGTACTGTAGTGTAAATATAAAATTATTATTTGTTAATTGATTTAAGTGCCCATAAGAGACGTTATATCATTATTATTATTATTATTGTTTTTATTGATAGACTGATTTTGTTGACTAGAATTGGAATAATTAGCTGCTTCTTGGAGTTTCATCAACATATTTGACTGAAATATAAAAATATCATTATTTTTATAAAATAATTAATTAAAATAATATACATTTATTATACTGTATATATAATGTTGATAACTATAAATATTATATTCAATATATAAAATATAACAAATCAATTGAATACATACGAGTGCATCATTTGAATTGGTGTTTAAATTATTGAGTTTTTCGTTACAGTTGTTTAGTTGAGTTCCTTCAATGTTGACATCTATGGCGCGTAATCTTCGCAAATGTTTAACCCAATCAATGGCCGAAATCCACGGATATGTTTCAATGATCCAATCAGTTGGATCAACAAATGCATTTCGTTTGCCATACATTTGAATACCGTCGCGTATGGCAGCAATCAAGTATGGAATAATTGATGAGTTCCAGAGATCAGTGAACCATATTTGAGAGCCATTGATATCCATTGGACATGAAAAGAAAATTCGAGGACCTAATAAGCAAATATAAATTTTTAGATATGAAACTAATTTATAAATAAAAATCATACCAATTGTGTTATCAGGTGAGGCATGTTTTTCAATAAATTCATTTAAATGAATCCATAATTTGGATATCCATTCAATAACATTATTGAGATCCGAATCTATAATCATGTTATTTGAGGTCAATTTTACTTCAGTTTCAATGAGTTTTCGTTTGAGATGACGACCCAGAAAACCTTTGACGGGTTCCGAATGATTATCGTATAAAACCCATTGAAAGTTATTATTTATTTGGAGATCATTTGATGACAAAGTTGTCTGATTCATTGTGCCGATTATATATGGACTAATCAAATCAATGATAATATTCAATCAATAAAAATAAAAATAGTTATATGAAATATATTATCTAAATTTACCATTTGGTGTGAGTTATATTGAGTGAACCATTAAATACTTCAGCAATGGATACATAATGCAAATCATCTAAAACAATAACAGTCGGTAAATGAATAGACAGTGCATCCGATTCGCACTGTTCGGCAACACTCGACAAATATGCCCGAAGTTTTTTAGCTGACTTGTGATCAACACTAAAGGTTGCAATCGATCCTTCCGGACAACACTTGATAGTAGTTCCCGGACTTCTCGTTTCAGCTGCTCGTCTAATAGCAAGATATTCGGCCAATTTATAGGCTAAATGAGTTTTTCCCGTACGATTCGTACCGTACAATATAATGCATTTGTGATCATTAAGTAGTCCTATATATTGATTGATAAATGATTTTGGAGTCAAAGTATCAAATACTAGTGAATCGTTTGCTGACTTAAATTGAAGATAAATGCGATTATCATTCACTATATACTCGAATGGAAGTATTTCTGGATTAAACTTTTTTAGTGATTGTAACTTATTGTCGATATTTCTTTGTAATCTTTCTGCTCCCAATTGATAACAGGCCAATACATCAATTGTCAATCCTAATCCACAATTTGAATCAATACGAGTGATATGCTCTTTGAATGCATTTTTAATCATCAAATCAAGCTGATCCCAAGTTGTTTTAAATGTCACCATCATTGACGAAATGGTGTGTGTACCAGAATTTATAGTAACAATTTTAGAACCATTATTGACATCCATTTCAAGACTTTCCAAACTATTAGCTATATTGTCATCAAATGATTTCTTTTGATGATTTAAAGGCAAACTACCATTTGTCGAGCTTTGGACACAAATAGCAGATGTCATTGAACTGAGTGAAGAAGCCAATGATTTGGAAGTAACTAATCGGTTGAGTCTATCGTTGTCCTGTTTTAGAGCTAACATCTCAGCTCTCATTTGTTTAACGGTTTGCTTGAGACTCTCCAACTGATGTGCTGATGATAATGACTCGAGTCTCAGATCTGTAACAATCATATCCTTTTCTCTTAAAGCACTCTTCAGTACCTGTATGTCATCCGAATCCAATTCATTGCTGTTTGAACTGCCATCTGATTGGAATGGATGGGAACATATAAGTGGTGAATTGGGCACAGAGTTGTAATCGCCTTCAATGCCAATGTCAGCGTCAGACAGAGTATCCCTTTTGGTTAATGACTTATTCTTTTTAAATGCTTTCGAGAATGAACTCCTTAACCATCCAGAAGTAGGAGTTGTCATTGTTTTTGCTGTTTTGGGTTTTTTCTTTGACTTCAAAGGTGATAGCAAACCGTCGACAACACTAGACATACTTGACAACGACTCAGTTGATAATTGACGAGACATTTGAGAATATGAGTCTAATTATTAATTAATAAAATTAATATTTATAAGATATTTATAAAATATAATACATAAATTAAAAAAAAACATTGTAATTAAAAGTAAAAATAAAACAAATTTATTAAACATTCAAAAATAACGGAAACCAAGTTTAAACAAAATGCTATTAGTAGTCAAAAGTTTCAGATCTAACCCTTATTATCGTTAGTATATGAAAATGTATGCTGTCTTATAAGTGTTGTTTTAACTTTAGTACTTAAATGTTTTGCATCACAACTGTCCACAAATCCATGTTTCCTCAGCTTCTCGATTGTGGCCCTCAAACGAATCAACTCATTATCCTTTAGTTCTGCAGATGCACTCATCTGCTGTAATCTCTGTGTCATAGACGACAATGATTGCTCAAATGCCGACACCATATGTGCCTTTAATATGCAATAAAATTTCATATTAAAAATTATTAATAAAATTAGATTTTTGTATTTTTCAATATTTCAATTAAAAATAAAAATGTGTTGAAAAAATAATGTATACATTAGTTGCCAATTGTTGTGTATAAGTAGCGATCTTGTCGTGAGACAGATCCAACTCACGCCTCAAACGTCTCATTTCTTGTGTAGTCTTGTTATTCATTTGATTAATTAAACTCCTAATATAACACAATTCATATATATTTTTATCAATATTACTGTATAATACTATATAATAATATAAGATAATTATATTTTTATCAATTAAAAGCAATCCATTCTATAATTAAATATAAAATACTGGTATTTAGCTAAAGGTTTTATTATTCTTACAATAATTATAACATTTACGGTACTATAACGTCAATAAATTAAGTTAATATTACCGGTAATATACTTAATAAAAAATAAATATTTTGCTAAATTACCGCTTAAATAGTAAAATAAAGGTTAATATTGTACTATAGGTTAGAAATTACAAGTTTTTATTCCTTTAATATAATTTCAAGTGTACTCCCATTACCTTAATATTATCATATATACCGATCACTGATAAAGATTATCTAAAATTACATTATTTTCATGATTTTACCTCCCAGTCATATAAATTCATGATATAAATTGTAATTTTACAACAAATATATAAAATATATGAACAAAATATTAAAGATTTTGAAAGTATTAGCGGTTTTAAGACTGGATTTTAAATTTATTAATAGAAAACCTTTATATGTTTAAAGCTTTTGGTTGAATCAACAAATGAATGATAAGATTGATATATTACCGGTAATAATAAGTTTTGTTAAAAATATTATGTACTCACCTATCGGTGTCATTATAGGGTCGATGTGTTGGACTCATATAATCGGTTTTTGTTGACAATAACTTATTTCTATTGAGTACAGTATAGCTATCAGTTTCAGTAATATATCCGTTATTAGAACCGACAGAAGAATAACAGGTTCGGTATGAATTAGGACGAGTCATACGGGACTTATTATTGACTTGAGTACAGTCACTCATATAACCGATTTCAATGGTCGAGTAGTTATTGGGATATCTATTGTAAGAGTTAGTATTGGTTGGCTTTGGACTATTAGTTCTTAGTATTGCTAATTGGGAAGTCCTCATGAGTGGTGCCATTGGTTTAATGTTGACCAGATCTGCTTCAATATCACTACTTCCAGCTGACTCTTCCTCGTGAGAGAGATCTTGTATTGCATTTTCAGGTGACTCTTGTTGTAAATGCTGACCATTCAACTGATTCTCGTTTATATTGACTTTAACTTTATTTTTATCTTCTGTTCGTTTAATATAATGTTTCTTAAGATTACCCGTTGAATCAATGGTATCGTTGGATTTGTTTATCAGTTTTGCTGTGCGGTTGTCATCTAAGTTATCATTCTTGGAGTGGCGTCTGTTCTGTTCTCTGGCCATAATGGGTGACACCATAGCAATGGTTGGTTCGGGCTTTGAATGGTATGATTGTTGTTGTGAGACCTTATTAAAAGTGGTCTTCAATTTGTTGTTATGACTAGAAGTGCTTTGATTATTGTTCATTGAGTGGCTCGGCTCGTGACCCGAGCACTGGCCATCAAATTTACGATTAGTGCCGACTGTTTCCTCACAAACAGACATTTTAGACACTGCTTTCACTTGAGGAGTAGGTTTGGCCAAACAAGGCAGTGATGTATTGGATGTCGACTGATAGCTGGATGTCATAGTCTTTGCCAGTGATGATGATGTGTCTAATATACTGGACGTCGGTCTACTCGATGGCCTCTGAATGCGTCTCTGCATTACTGGTATGGAAGCCGTCGGTGCCGATGATCGACCAGTTTTGCCGATATTATCACAAATGGTTAACGTTTCGTTGCTTTTCTTCAATACATTATTACTATTAATATTATTATTATTATTATTATTATAACTGAATTGGTTTGCATTCAATCCATTGTTTATGGAGTCTATGAGAGACAGAGTATTGACTTTAGTTTTGCACAAACTCTGTGTCACAGATGTCTTAGCCCTACAACTGTTGGTACCAATGGTGACACCAGTAGTGCCCTCTAAACCACAAAGACTGGCACTCGAGTCACTTTTGGCTGAACTACAGCCCGAAGAACTGCTTGTTCTCTTCGAGACAGTTGTATCGGACCTATTGATGGTGACAACACTTGACGATCCATTGTCTGGTTGGCTGACATTTGTTACTATTTGTTGATTAACTTTACTTCTGTATTGTTTAATCTTATCGACAATTGTCTGCTGTGACTGATTAGCTGCTGATGTCTTGTTTCTCAATACAACACTTGTCTTTGCGCTAACATTTGGCACTGATTTCTGAGGTATAGATGATGCGAACGATGGACGGGGAGGTCGGATACCTTTGGCTGGAATCGCACTGATCGGTGGACCACTTGATTGCGATATTTGAGGTATCATTTTGTTTGACGGCACAGGAGGTGATGGCCAACACTGACCTGATATTTGGCACGACATGAGTCTTATATATATATTAATATATAAAGAGATATTTAAACAGTTTTATTAAAAATTTATATAAACTTTAAAATAAAGTAATCTTTAAAATATTAAACATTTCTTGTTTGACAAAACAATAATATCCTATAATTTCATCAATTGATAAATATTGAAATTCATAGCAAAACAAGTCACAGATTTGATACATTCAGATAAAAGTCGAGATATAAATAATTTAATGAAACTCAGCCAACAATTTGAAGCAAAACTTAAGTCTATTGTCTGTAAATCTCATTTTTGGATCAAAAGTTTTGATACATTTAATGATATCAATTTTCAGACAACTTTCAAATGTTAATTTAAAAAACAATTTCACTCATTGTTAACATAACTTATTGACGATAAAATTAATATCAAGGAAATAAACTTATATATGATTTTTATAATACCTATATAAATAAAATTATCATAATATAAATATTATTAATAATATATTTGAAGTGGTGTAGTGTAGATGTAGGTAAAATTATAATCAATAAAAATAAGCAACAAAATAGGTATAATAAACGATGCTCTTTATAATTGAATTAATGAATATACAATATAAGTAATATACATTTATTATTATACTGTATGTATAATAAATTTTAATATAACATATATCATTATTTTAGGTATAGTATTATAGTACTGTATATACTATACATTTGCTTTTTCAATAAAGATTATTTTTAAAAATAAATATAAACTATCCAATGGTTTTTCTAGATTTTAAACTTTTATAGTATAAAATAACAACATTCAAAAAATCAGTTCATAAATCAATATTTTCATGAAATAAAATATTTATTATGTAGATGAAAACAACTACAGTTTTATTTTTTGAAAAATGTCAAACTATAGCAAAAAAGCAATTTTTCTCTAAAAAACAACAACTAAAGTGATGGCAAAACATTTTTTTTTGTGAATAATATGAGAACAATATTTTACATTTAAAATTGCACTTTAAAAGGACGTATAGTTTTCACTTATATAATATAATACAATAAAAATTTCAAAATACTTGTTTAAATAGTTTTTACAAAAATTTGAGTCAAATAAGACTTAAATGAAGTGATGAGGAAAGTCAGTGCATGACTACACTTAAGCTTTACATTTTGGTTGGCTTTCCTTCAAGTGATGCTATATTTGTCTAGTTTTGTGGTACATGTGCTGTGCTATGAGGCTGTGCTTTCAAAACCATCGGAATGGAGGCACGAGAGACATGAGGTGCCGTTAATTTAAATATTACTATTTAGCTATATATATATATAGTATGCATACATAAGCTTTATTATATATAGTTCACTATGAAAATGTTGAGCACGTGTAGCATCACTGCGGGGAGAGAATTGTGGAGGCAATAGGATGAGCACCACTAACATTGACAGTCATCAAAATATATGATACAATCGACACAAGAGATGCCTAAGCCTTGAGAAAGTCATAGTATTATACAAAAAGCAGAAACAGACAGTTAATCAATGATATGAACACATAAACTAGTGCTTAGGATTCAAGTAAACAAAACATCATATTTTGCCTTAAATTCATTCATTTCAAGTACTTCTTCACTGACAGATTGCATACAAATGTTTGTATGATTTTAGAGTAAACTTATTTAAAAACATTTCACTAATACAACTGATATTCATTAAAACTATAGATTAGAAATATACACAATATATTAATAATTAAAAACTATAATCATTAATATATTTGTTATTATAATAAAAATTAATCGATATTTTATGACAAACATGTCTAAAAAAAGTTACAAATGAAAGACATGACAATTATGAGGTGATGCCAGCAATGATAGGCAATAAGGACTCACCCCTTAATGCTGGAGTCAATACCATAAAGTTTTCCAAATTGTTATTACGTATAACATCTGTAATGATTATCACTGGACACTAGTATTGACACTAATGGTCACCTAATAGTCAGGTTATATCACCACAAATATTAGATATATAGCATATTGGGGTGATATTTAGGGTCTGTCTAATAAAGTAAATCACAAAACCATGTTTAATGGTAACGCCTGTCACTAATAGGCAACTTGTGGTAAAACTTTAAGCTAACACTAACGAGAAAATAACATACTTTCAGTGAAAATATGGTGTAAATATTGGGAAGAAAAATGAGTTTAAAGGAAATAAATGTCAAACTTTGAGACTAAAACAAAAACAATTGATTGGAGGCCTCAAACAAATGGCAAAGAGTTGATGGGCAGGACTATCACTATTGTCAAAGCAACTGCTTTTACCATCAATTACCACAACTTAAGAACACATCAAAAGACAAGCGGAAGCTATGAAGTAAATGAATGAATGAATAAGTGAGTGACTGAGTGGGTGAGTGACTGAGTGGGTGAGTGAGTGAGTGAGTGAGTGAGTGAGTGAGTGAGTGAGTGAGTGAGTGAGTCATCAGCAAACCGTTGAAGCTGTGGATACTTGGATAACAGGTTTTTGTTAAATGAGCTGATGATGAGTTGACTATCATTAAAATAGTGGCAAAATCTGATGTCAAATAGCGGTGAAGTTATTATTTATATATTGTGTATATTATAGCCTTTAGTTTATATACTTTTGAAATTATAGCCCTCAGACACTGTGCTTGTTATACAATAACGACTTTACAAGAACTTGAGGTTCAGTCAAAAGCAAAGAACTAGAGAGAGGTTAGAGAGAAATGATATAATGAAACAATCATTTAGATTATTGTTAGTCACTATATATTTTCAAGTGTTGGGGTCTGAGGGGGGTTGGGTTATGCGGTCTGGGATATAATAATATTGATTTCATATCTACTTATAAGACTGAAAACTATATTTAATTGCCTCCCAGGCATTAAACTAAAATTGTCATTTACTATACAATATATTAGTGTAAACGTAAAAGACCGGAATAATAGTGAGTTCATGACTTGCCAGGTATAGGTTAGGTTAGATTATATAATTTTTGTCATCACTAACTACCCTTCCAAAGTCAATGCCAATACCCTATTCAATGATCCCCAAAGACTAGGAATAATTTCCTAAATCCTCTGAGTCTATATGTATTGAAACTAATAAATTTTTAGACCTAATCGTCGTTTTAGTAGATTTTCTATTGAAAGTGAATCACTACAGAGATAGAGAAAGAAAGAAAGAAAGAAAGAGAGAGAGAGAGAGAGAGAGAGAGAGAGAGAGAGCTAGTGATGCAAAAGTACAAAAAATGTTAGCTCTAGAAGAAAATCACAACTCATTGAACATAAGGGCAGAGAAAACGAGTGATAATAAGTAAAGGAATGACAGTAGACTTAGAAGACAACAATAAGTTCTTCAGACACTATCACATCATCACTCATTGTTATGGCACTGGTATTCAATGTGAAGCCAATGTGAAGTCTTACAGATGTTGTGAATTGCAATGAAATGATGAGGAAATTCAATACTTGCCTCAAAAGCGTCTATTCTTATAGTGGTATACAGTGTATGACCGTAAGTCTCAGTCACTCATTATGAAGCACTTGAATAGACATTTGATTTCTATCAATACTATTGTTCATAATTGTATCGTTATATATAATATTGGATTATAGATTACATTATATTACATCAAAATCATATACAGAAGATATATGCACTGTATATACGGTATATCAATGGATTTTTACTCAATATTTAATAAATAAAAATAACATTTACTTTAAATTTATAGCTTCCTTCACACTTTTGTTTATATACTTTACACACACACACACACACACACATATATATATATATATATATATATATATATATATATACAGCGTGTATATAAAGCGTGTATTATTTTTGCAATATATAAATACACAATATTTGCGGATCAAATCTATTTTTGTACAAAAGGGTAAAGAACTCTATTATATAAATTTATATTATATTAGACTAATAATAGATTAATAATAATAATAAAAATTGTTTTCCTAATTATAGACAGTTAGATACATACATACTGTGATTTTTGTAGTTTATTATTGCACATACAATCTGTTTAATATAATCGGTATTTACAACATTTAAAATATATATTTGCATCAAAAATTTGTTCATAAAATATACAAACAAATGATTTATTTGAATATTTAATGTCAATTAGACACACAGTTTATCAAATAGACAATGTATAGTTGATTGATTAACTTTTATAGACCAACTTTACTGATAAAAAGGTTTACGCATTTATTTATCCATTCAATTTTCATTCACATAACTTATTGAAAGTCAATTTTGTTGAAATATATTTTTGCTTCAAAATACAATTTAATCAGAAAAAAAACTTTTTTTTAACCATAACATTAAACAGAACACATAACATAACATATATCAAAACATATCAAAAATATATATTTTATTGTATACTCCGTTGACTTTGTTATCAAATCAAAAACTGTTACAACAAAATATTTTTGTGTCACATATATAAAAGTATATAAAAACTAAAAATATTTAACTATTTGTGAGAATTGAGAGAATTTGAATGATTTGTGTATTGAATATAACGACAATTGTCTATCATTTGCAATCAAAAGTCACAATATATTAGACTGAATGCTGAGTCGCCTCAATGCGTGTAATGGTATGACTAATATTATTGATATTATTTCCATCGCAGCCCTAATACCTATAGACTTTCAATATATACTTAAATCACCCGCACGTTGTATGGCACACAGCACCGCACCGATACCACCACTACCACCACCAACGTCGTGGCACTTGTAGGGCTTAAATAGGAAAAACTATTAAATAGTAAAACAGTAGTTTTCCTATTGAGAGGTTAGGCATAGGCATGCCTTCACATACATATTGAATAAGCCAACTAAGCATTTGCTGATTCATTGAATACCATCATTTAAGCGCCGGTCCCCCGATATATTAGTCATACACTAACACATACTCATACATAGATTGTATCAAATAAACTGATATTAAAACTAAGACAAATAGTGAACTTTAAAAAATATCCAAAATGAGAAATTTCACTATCAATAAAATTGATTGACAGTTAAATATGTTAATCATAACTATTTGAAGTGACATCAAATGTCTAATTAGATTATAAGTGTTTGCTTCAAATATTACATATAAAAAATTGACTATTTTTACTATTGTTATTCAAAAATCTCTAAATATTATTGAAAACATTTCTATTGAAATATTATGTATAATCAAAATATTTTGCGTAATTTTCTGTAAAATGCTTTTTATTATATTATAAAATTATAAAATGAAAGTTTTTTTAATACATTTAGAAAAATTGTAATATTATAGCAATTTTTGTATTGTATTTTATTTTTATACAGTAAGCCTAAACACCAGATGCTTTAATATAAAAATAAAATTTATATAATTTATTGTGTTTTAGTTGGAATAATAATAATTTTTTAACAATAAAGTTATATAATTTATTATTGAAACCACTCTGAATCTATTTATAATATGATAAGTTATCATTGATAACTATAAAATATACACACAATATAAATAATATTTATTAAAACAAAAGTGTACATGTTAGTTTTAGCTAATTACATTTTCAGATGTTTATAATTTATTTTTATAAATAAACATGTATTTTTTGTCAATAATTTTATTAAAAATTATACACTTTACTATGATATAATAAGTAATAATTTTATTTGTAATATGATAATCACTTTAATTATCATTATATAAAAACAAAAATATTTATATTTTTAGGTTATCTAATTAAATGAGTTTTTTAAGCATTTAGTTAATAAACTGATAATTTATGTTAATATATAATTTATGAGTGTTTGTAATTAATCAAATATTTAATAAATTAATGCTTAATTTTGATTTTGTCTTTAATTTTCAATCAATAACTAATACTAGTTTAATAAACTAAATACTCTATTTATGTATTATATATTAATAGTATATATAATTATAATGATAAAATAATAATATTATTATTTTCAAACATATTTAATTGACACTATCTAAAATAATAATTGTACTATTAATAAATTTATAGATATAATAAATCTAACTTATAAATTTAAATTATTATTTAAATAAATAAACCTTTTTTTGCAAATTTAATTTTTTGATAAAATATAAATAAAATTTTGAATTTATTCACATAAGTAAAAAATACATTAATTAAAAATATAAATTAGTGTCATTCAAAATATTATTTTTATTTAATATACTAGTATAGAAAAAAATAAAAGATGAAAATTATTTTTCAACTCTACGTGAATACATAAAATGCCTTAATTTTTGTCACATTTTAGATGTAATAATATTTTAATTAATACAATAATTATGTGGTTAATATGTTGCTATTAGCTATCTAGTTAAAATTAATTGCAAATTATTAGATTTCATATATATAAATACTGTATATATAACATAATTAATAATAAAGTAATATACAATATTTTATTTAGAAAACATTAAAAAATTCTATATTTATTTTAATTTTTGAAATTAATCTATACATAAATTCTAATAATTTATTTATATTATAAAATTATTATTGAAAATTAAATTTAATTAAATATAATTTTAAAATTATAAAATATATTAATTTATGTTTCATGAAAATAAAATATTTGAGATAAGTTTATAAAATTAAAAATGTTTACCTTTTTTTTGCAGAAAAATATGAAATAACATTAGAAATCGATTGTAGAATTAGTGAATATTTTTTGTCCGATAATTTATTTTAGGTCCGATGTCTGAAAACATTAACAGATGAATAAAAATTGTTTATATTATTTATATGGCACTCACTGTTTGGACAGTAAAGTAAAGTACATCAAAAATTTGTGTTATTTTTATAATACTCTTTTAAGTGGGAAGAGTCGGCAAATGAAGAATATATGAAAAACTAAGAAATATATACAACAACTCCTTCTCTAAGTCACCATTACTTGAGATATAACTTATAGCTTAGCTCTGAATTATTCATATCTATTAGCTTCTGGCGGTATTTACTTTACTACCGATGTATTTATAATCTAATACTTGTAGTAAACATAACAGAAAAATAATATCTAAATACTCGAAACTTTTTATGCCTTATTTATTTCGGATACTTTTATAATATAAATACACAAAAGTTTAATACCTTTAATAAAAAGTATTGAAAAGTTTACACATCTTATCACACAACACTTTATTTATATTAGAGATGTATCGGTGCGATCCAACTATAAGTGCCAAATAGCTATATATATACCGGTATATGAAGTTAATATAACTAATGGAGCGATGGTTTGGATCTCTATTTATACGACAATTTTATTTTTGGCGAACAGATTCTGGGATTTACATTCACTTCATTGTATAAGACATATCATATACAGTACTGTACACTGAAAGTGCATATGTGTTGTGTTTATGCCACCAAATGTCTTAGTCGGCACTCAATCGTGTCGATCAAACAGTCAGGTATTGTCTATACGCCGACTCTCTAACAGCTCTCTCTCTCTCTCTCTCTCTCTCTCTCTCTCTCTCTCTCTCTCTCTCTCTCTCTCTCTCTATTTACTGTAAATTGTGTTTGATTAGGGTTTTACTCTCAGAAATTGCAATCGTGTCTCAAAACGATTAAGTTTATAACTATATGAATAAATGACTTATATTCGGTTTTATTGTTATTTTTTGTGTTCAATACACATATAATACTGTATAATATAACCAATAGCTATAAGAAAAGCTGTATTTTTTTGTTATATAATATAATTTGCTTTTAATGAGAACTAATGTGAAATATATGGCAAACACATATAACATACTGTACTATTAATATATCTATACTCTATGTAATGAACAGTATATTCACAATTCAATACATGTTTCAACAGTTTGATGACTGTTAATGACATTTGGTTTATCCAGTATTTTAATTTTCAAGTTTATGTTTTAAAACACCTCATATTATTTATTTCATATATCCATTCTGTTTATTTATATAGGATTTTATAATGTGTTAAAATAACGTGTGCTTTATTTTGTTGAATCATTTATAAAAACATTATTTTAATGGTTTGTAAAACTATAGACACTATATTAGGCAATTTATAACCATAAAAATTATACCGGATAAACATTTGAACACAATAACAACAACAATTATTTTTTTTAAAATTAAACTTTTGTTGCTTAAAGTATTTTTAACATTTTAACCACACTTTAATGAACACGAAATAAAAACATAAATTATTGTCGATTCACTAAATTAGTGGTAAAAAATTTAAATTAATTAATCATTTAGAGACTTAAGATCCATGAATTTACTGTTACTAAATGTCTAAATTTAACAATTAAAAAAGTTTATTATGATAATAAAAAATAAAATTGTATTTAAAATAAACATAGCTACTGAAACAATTTCTGTTAAAAAATAAAGTATATTTAAAGTATAATTTGATATTTTTATTTTGACAATTTTGTGGTTACAATATCATATTACATTACTTCCTCTTAATATATACAGTCATTGAACAAAAATTCAAAGTCACAAAATTTTTGATGTACAAGAAATTAGAAACATTATCCTATCAATCATTGTTAGTCCTGTAATAATGTTTCAAAAACTAATAAACCAGTGGTCACTGAATTTGTCAATATGTTGATGAATCTTATATTAATATTTATATACGGTTTACACATTTATATTAATATCAAGCTTTTATTTCACTCGTATTACTCTTATATGCTATTAATGTAATAGTAAATTATTATATATAATTATTTAATAATATCTAATAATAATAATTTTTATATATTATTCTAGATATTACTTTTATTCTTACTTTTTATTACTTTTCTATATAATTACATTAGACAGTCAGTCAATCGGATAATTATATTGTATTATATTACACTAATAATAATATATTTTTATTTATATTCATAACATTTATGTAATTTAATACAAAAGTTAACAACTAATGTAAATAAAAGTAATAAATGATTTTTAACAAATATTTTGTTGTATACCTGTTTTTTATGACAAGTATGGTTATCAACGTCTAGTTTCAACTATAATGTGTCGAGTTTTTGGATTTAAAAATTGGTCTTCAATTTAGACCTATGACCTCATTATAAATTATATACAATTTCTATTTAAATAAATGGTATTAAATGTTAAACAATTACTTTTATAACATTAATTTATGCTAATTTATAATACTCTAGATAAATCTAATTTATTAATATACTATTATTAATTATTTGTATATGATTTTTAAAAAATTGTTTTTGTATCTATTACCAAGAATCTAAAGTATGAATTTGTTAATATAACTTAATTTAAACCATTAGAAGAATTATATTTATTTTTATTATTTTGGTTAATACTGATTTTTAAATAAATAAATAAATATATATATACTGTATATATAACGTATCTAAAAAATACGTTAGGAATATAACGACAAGTAAATAAATAATTTAAATTATACTCACTTTTAAAGAGAATTACATAAAATGTAAAATATATTTTGTATAAAATCATACATTAAATTATTTTCAAAGCTAATTTGAATACCATAATGGAGTGAAATTCATTTATGAATAATAACTATTTGTTAAAAAAGTATAAATATTCTCAAATTTCATTACTTTTATTTTATAAAAATGTATATAAAATTCATTATTAATAAACAAATGGTCGTTATATATAAACAACTTCTGAATGACTTGAAGTTTATGAGACAGTTGTAAAAAATGTTAATTGAGTTATGATTTTTGCATTTTAATACAAAAAATGCATTATTTTAAGGACTGTGTTTGCTCTTAAAGATGGCTTTAATTTTATTTAAGATTTTAGTGACTGAAAAGCATTTTTATGTTTTCTTATAATCACAAACACAGTATTCCTTGACTTAATTATAAAGACATTCAATATCTTAAAACATTGTAAGCGTTTGTAATTAAGATGTGTTTGTGAACCGGAATCGTTGTCTAACAATATAATTAAATTTAATGAACAGCTAATTAGTCTCTACTCTAAATGTATATCCAATGTATAACTGTATATACATTACATCTAAAGTACACTTAAAAAGTGACTAAAATTTGAATACAAATATAAATTGTCAAACAACTATGATATATTAAGTATTTTCTAAAATATAATTCAAAAAATGTATATTTTAATAAAAATTTTCAATATTATATTTATTATAATTACATTATACATAACGATAAATAAATTTACATATAATGAGTATTTTGATCAATAATAAGCTTTAATATTCAATAATTTAACAAAAATACTAATATAATCTATATATAATATACTCTAAATATAACACAATTAGAAAATTAAAATTATTTACGTAAAGTGCCGCATAAATTAAAAATTAAATTTTTAGCCGAAAGTGGAGTTTTGCCAAATAATTAAATAATTTTGATATTTATATCTTTGAATGATATTGAGTAACACTACTAATAGTTGGCACAAACCATACATATATTACATATATATCTTTTGTCTACATTTCAACACAAGTATTGATTAGAAAGACATTGTTTCGTCTAATTTATTGAATGCTTTCACTTCATAAAGTCATCGCCCGTTATATTAATATCCGGTTTTTAATAGAAATAATTACCAAAAATGGACTAAAAAAGCTCAAAGAAATAATTATATTTTGAAACATCTATTTATATGTATTTGAATTTGTTATTACATACATGTATGAAATGAATCATTTATCTATTTTACAGTACAGTACTTCCAATTTTACAAAATATAATTATAGACTCCACTATTAATATGATGTAACAAATTATGATTAAATATAAAAAAATAAATTCTATAATAAAAAGTGTGTGTTTCTTGGATTGAAATTAAAATAAATTTACCCAAACTTTTGAATCGTTGATATGATAATTTAGTAATATAGTGTAGTATAATATAAACATTGATAGAATTGTCGCTCAGTTAGATAAGCTCAGGTAAATATAATATTACAAAAATTATAATATACTAACTAAAGCAACTATGATTAGAGAAATGTTTTATCATTTTTCTAGGAATTGTCCACATCATTGCTAATATTAATAAAATAATAAAAATAATTTTTTAAAATTTTTATTTTGGTATTTTTTATTAAACAAACGTAAATATTTTAATTATTTAAAAAAATAAAAAATACATATAAATTGGCACAACATCATAAATGAAACTTTACTTAAGAATGTATAAATATTTTTAATTTAATGTTTGAGCTAAAGTTATTAGAAATAAATTTTTAAATGGATATTAAATCAAAAATATTTATATTTTATAAATTATGAGAAGTAATATTTTTTAACAAATATTCACATTAATTTTTGACAATTACAAATTAATCGTATCATTACAATTAAAATTACAGTATTATTTAAAAATTATAAATGCATATTTATAAATACAATAAACTGTTAAAAATAATAAAATATTTTAAAAATAAAATGTATGAAACTATAATACAAATTGTTATGTATGTGAGTAATGAATAAAGTAATGCTAAATTAACATATTTTAAAATAACATTTCATTTTTATTTAATTTTAATGTTTTGTTTAAAATAAACAACTTTTTTTAAATAAAACGGCGAAAATATATTAACTATAATAAAAGATTGATTGACAGCTTAAATATTCATAACAATTCAAAGTGACTTCAAATGTCTAATTGGATTTAAAATGTTTAGAATTTATTTGCATAAGAATCTAATACTTAGAAAATCTAAACTATTGTTATTCAAAATATTAATTCAAAGCATTTTTTTCATTTAAAGTTTTGTCGATATATAAAATATTCTTTAATTTTGCAAAATAAAGCTCTATATTAAAGTCTTAAATGGAGTTAATATTAATATAATTTTTTAATTTTATTATATTTTTTTATTTAATAATATCAAAGTATGAATTAAACAAATGTGATAACAAACAGCAATAAATACATAGTATTATTACTGTAAATAGTAATTACATATAAAATTAACTAAAATATAATAATAAAACAATTTATACAAATTAGTTGATTAAAACAATTGTATAACAGATGACATCTATTGAAAATCACAATAAATATGACTTTTGTTCTAAAATATAAGTAATTTCGGCATTCAATAGATGGAAGTTTGCTCTCAAATCTATTTTTATTAAATTTCAATCGTAACAAACTTATAATGAAATAAATATTTATGAATATATAATAATTATAACATTACAAAATGATAAGTATTTTTAAACAATTATAATGAACTCAAAAATCATTATAATAGCATTTTTGATTTTTAAAAATTGATTATTTTTCAATAACTTTTTAAAGATATAATTTATATTCTTTAAGGAGTCTTTTAAAAAAATAAAATTATATAAAATTGAATATTTTTTAGAAATTATGAATTTCTTTAAAATCCATATTAAAACTATTTATAAAATTATTGCTAAAATCATGATTTCAATTATCTCTTTTTCTTTCCTAAAATATTAAAACTATCAAAAAAGCTGTCGCTTGAGGGGTCGTGTGGTACGGGTGTTGGCTTATATGGTGGCAAATGTACGCCTTTTATTATATCGGCCGCCTTTTCGGCGATCATAATAATGGGTGCATTAGTATTGCCGGACACAATCTTTGGCATTATAGAGCCGTCAACGACTCGTAAACCTTTAATACCTCCGAGTACTTTAAGCTCAGGGTCAACAACTGATGTGGGATCCCAGGGTGGGCCCATTTTTGCGGTACCCACCGGATGATAGATAGTTGCCGTATAGGTTCGGGCAACACAAGCCAAGTACTCGTCACTCCACATCTTATATATTTCACAGCCGGGAAAAACCGTTTCAAACAGACGGGCGCCTATATTCTGATAGGCGGGGGTCAGACCAACAGCTATTGATATCTTCATGGCGTCGACCATAGAAAGGATGTCATCCGGATGTGTCAAATATTTTGGGTCAATAATTGGTGGATCGTATGGATTAGATGAGCGAAGTTTGATGTAACCAATACTTTTTGGTCGCAACAGCACCGGATACATACTGAATGTATCATAAGGTAGATATGGCACATACACCTTCTCCCACATTTCACGGGTAAACCCCTGAACCCGACGAAATGTCTGTCCGTCGTCAGATGTCGGACCGCCGTTCAGCATATGAATCTCAAAGTCCGGGTAGTCGTCAGATTGATTAACATATTTAGTTTTTATGAAACCCAATCCCTCAACGCCTCCCAGTGCTGTCATTGGACCTATAATTAATGTAAATTAATTAATTTTTAGAAACAATTTTCTAAACTAACTATTAGAAAGCTAAAGCAATATAATGTAATTTATAATTTACATATACATTACAATACAATATAATACAAAATACATATACTTAAATATTTTAGATATAAATTGATTTTTAAAAAATAAAATGTGTTAAGATAAATATAAATGTTTTTTCTTATTATTTATTTATAATAAAACAATTATTTTTTCTAAAATTAATTTTTAAATATATGTAAGAAAATAATTAAAAGATGTATATCATTTTGAAAGTTATTTCTAAAAATTTTTAAAATATAAGTCAAAGTCATTCAACAAATTTAACAAAATCTACTCAACCAAAACGTTTTGCTCTAATTTTTGTCAAATTTGTATTTTAATGTTTTTATTAATACAATATTTATGTAATAGTCATTATTTTGTAATTAATATGAAAATACAAATGTTTTAATATTAAATGAGATTTAAAATGAGTTTATTATATAAAAATAATATTAAACAATATTGAATCTCATAAAACAAATGTATTTTTATATTAAGCTATTTAAATATTTATTAAATGTCAAATGCTATTAATATTTTTTATAAGAAAAATATATTCAAATTTATAGTAATGCTATTTAGAAAAAATAGATAATATAATAATAACATATTTGAATCATGACGTAAACAACTATTTTTGAAATTTATTAATAAATTAGCTTTTAATATATATATCTAATTTTATACTAAATTTTAATTCAAATTCAATTATTATTATAGTTTATAATTAAAAATAATTAAATCGTTTACCTCTTCCGGCAGAGAAATATGAGATAACATTAGGAAGTGATACAATTCTTCGTTGAATTAGTGAATATTTTCCGTCACACGTGAAGTGTACGCCTCCGGGATATATGTGGTCCTGAAGATTGAGACCAACCGGAAGATCAGCCAATACGGGAATTCCGTTCTCTGTTAAGTGATCTTTAGGTCCGATCCCGGACAACATTAAGAGTTGAGCCGAATTTATAGATCCGGCCGATAGTATTATCTCTTTTCGGGCATAAACTATATGAGTGAGTGAGAAGCGATCAAATTGGATGGCCTGTGCTCTCTTAAACTCATTGAATAATATTTTAGTCACGTATGCAAATGTAACGACATGTAGGTTTGGTCGATGTCTAGCACTTTGTAGGAAAGCCTTAGAAGTTGAACACCGGGCGCCTCTTCTAATGGTGCCCTGAGGTATGGCAAACCCCGTGTTTGTCGGACCATTTAAGTCTATATTGGGATATCCCAACTGTTTACCCGCTTCGGGAAATGCTGTGGCTATTGGACTGGCATCTGGAGGACTCGATACTGTTAGGTATCCACCTGTACCATGGTACCCTATTTAAGATAATTATATATTTACTATTTTAAATTCAAATATTTTCTGCATTTTTAAGTGATTTGCTAAACTTTTATTTTTGTTTATATACATATAAATTTATCAATAAAAATATTTGTCAAATATATTAATATGTAATAGTAGTCTACTTTATTGATAAACTTTATTTTAAATACTATAATAACATAAAATTGATTTTAAATAAATCATTTTTGTAAATATTTATAGGGAAAATATAACAATAGATTATTTTCAAACATGTTTGTGTTCAAACATTTTACGATTGGTTATTATCCGTGAAAAATAATTTATTTGTGTTTGTAATCAAACAGAAATATTGTGAGAATTGACTTCACATGTCGTTTGTAATGTTTTTCAATTATTAATTGATTGACTCTCCATCTCATATCAAATCAAAAGTATATTTAGAAATACCTTTAATAATGAGTACATCGAGAAAAGGATCTACAGATCTATGGCTCAGTTATTGTGTATTTGTGTTGTAGTTTTGATTTATACTATTTGTCACACTTATTAAGCTTCAAATCGATTTTGATAGCAATACTATTTTTGATGAATAGTCCTCTTTTAATATAACTATTTGTATGGCTATAAATAGAGAGTAGAGCACAGGGTCTTCAAAAATACAGGAGAGTCGACAAAAATTGCTCAGCACTTACATTCAACTTTGAAAATTAGATCAATGTTACCATCACATCACCTAAACACTTGTGTGTCAATAAACAATAGACTAAATAGGGGTTGTCATAGGGCTCACCAACAATGCAATACAATAGAAAGGATGGCAAAAAATCAGTCAAAAGTGACCATAAATTGTGATTTAAATCTTTTTTTTGTAACTTAACTTAAAAAATGAGAGAAACTAATAACTCAACGAAAAGTTAATATTAGTTATATAATAAACTAATTTCATTTTACTGATCTGACGCCTACATTATATGTGCACTCCATGTGCTCTCTATTATATATGTTATAAGACGTTCCCATTCACATGGACTTCGTATCTCATTTACTATAGTTAACTAATTTTCATTTAGTTAATATTAAAATATCATTTCTTTTATACATATTATTGATAAAAAAAATATTTTGGTTTCATTACATATAAACTAAAAATAAGACATAGATTTTATAGTTTACCATTGTATGCGATACCCGGGTCGCGGTTATCCTCTGACTTTATAAAATATGGCAACACCTCCTCCCACGACCACCCGTACGCACCGTAATCTCGGACCCAACCATCATAATCACGACTATTGCCTCTAATATATAGCATATAGTTAAGGACCGATGAGCCGCCGAGTACTCGACCCCGAGGCCAACGACTTCGCTGTTCAATAAAAAATTGTTTTGAAAACTTTTAATTAAAAATAATATGTAAATAGTTAATTAACTTAACTAATTAGTCGTAAAATCATTATATGATAAATGTCAACTTAGTATATGTTACATGACTTTTCAATACATAAATTTTGTTTTTATTTATTATTTATTAAATTTAATATTATTTTCATTAAACAAAACCAAATGCTTGTAAAGTTAATTATATTAATAAATTTACAGAAGTTTATATATATATAGTCGGGTATTAAAAATTAATTGAATTTTTACAGAACATTGCATTCATGTGTTATGTAATAGATTTTAATTTTGTGTTTAATCTGAGATTACTAATAAAAGTATTATTATTATTATTGACGACTCACGCGATTAATGAGTCCAAAACAGGAGGCTTCTTGAGGTTCCGTTTGATAGGCCCAGTCTATTGGTGTCATCTGTAGAGTAGCCGCTGCTATCGGTATATCGCTAAATACATTTTCAGACCCTCCGGCCTCTAAAAGTAACACTTTTATTGCCGGGTCTTCAGATAATCGATTAGCCATTACAGCGCCAGCAGATCCAGCACCAACTGTTTGTTTTATATGACAACAAAAAGTGTTAAATCATAATAATAATAATAAAGTAATAAATAATATTTTATTAGAAATTATGATTTGGGAAAAAAGAGAAAATAGTACACAATATAAAAAATGACACAAACATTATAAACATTATGTTTAAGGTCAGGGTTGGTATTGATGTTGTTTAGGTCTCCTATTTTTAGATATGTTTTGCCACAACTCTGGCTATAATTATTGTTAGACTGTTTGCCGCATTTTTGCACAATTTTTTTTCACAATCATTGCTATTCTTAGTGTGAATATTACTAAAACTATTAACCATTTAATATATAATACTGAATAGCATTATATTATTAAAGTACTTGTCATTCATTTTTTAATTTAATAATAATTGAACAAATTTTTCAATTGTCTTTTTTTCGTTAATAAAAAATATTTTTACGATTGAATTAATTATAGATGCACTCCTCCCCTCTTATTGTGACCCAAATTAAAATAAAACAAAACTATTATATATTTTGAAAATTCTTGTAATAAAAAGTCATATTTGTTTATAAAAAAACATTTTGTATGAATTATTTAATAAGAAAAATAGTTTTTATTATTGTCGTTAACTTTTATCTGTAAAACGAAACAGCATTTTACGCTTAATAACGAATAATAGGTAAAAGGATATCAAAAAGGATAAAAGATTATTATATTTGTGTTTTCAAATGGATAGACGACAATAACTTTTGTATTAAATATATCTTTAAATATTTATAAATTTGACTAAAATTGATAAATTAGGTCAAAAAATATTAAAAATTTAGGAATTTTATACAAAAACTTTCATTTTATTTTAAAACAAACATCACGTATGCATTGCTTGTAATTCACTGCATGTCTAATGACCCGATTTGTTGATGACTTTCCCCACAAAATAGAAAATCCTATAATTAACTCAATTTAACGCAAAATTGCAGTATATTTAGTTTACTTGCAAATAACTATTAATTTAAATTTAATTTAGTATAAATGCTAATACAAAAAAAAATAATTGTATACTTTACTTCAAATAACAAACAACTGTACATATAATCATAAAACATTAAATACTAAATGATAAAAATTAATAAAACAAATAAATTAAATGATATGACTTACCAATTATATAATCATATTCTTGATCCCAGTTATTACGAGATATAGATATTGAATGATCGGCCGCTCGTATCCATAAAAGTGTGGCCAACGGTACTAATGCTGGTAACAGTGCGGGCACTATATTAGTGACCATTGTCTTAATGGCGGCACAATTAAAATATAATTGATTTATAATAAAAAAAATAAAATAAAAACAGGTGTCATTAAAATACTCTCACTTTAATATTTGAACATTTATGCAAACTGATATTTAAGCAAACAAACAACTACTATATTTATTTTATATATTTATCTACACATTAGTATATAAAAGTTTTATGGTTATTCTGACACATAATTTAAATTAAAAATGATACTGAGTAAATATAAAAGTATAACATTTAATATTAGCACAAAGATATAGTAGCAGTTTGTGCTTTAAAATTAACATTTTCATCAAAAGTAACGATTGAATGTATTTAAGGCATTTTATAATTTGAGTCAACTGTAAGGCCATAGGATATACGCTATAGAGTTAAGCTGCGTTCACACTAATGCTTATCCAAGTAGACTTGACTTGAACTCAAGTCAAGTTTCAAGTAACATGTGTTCACATTGCTACACTTAAGTTTATCTAATTTTATAAAAATTAATCAAATTATTGAAATTATTTTATTAATTTTGATGTTAATTATAAAAATTATACAAAAATAATTAATTTTTATTTATTAAACAATTTAAATGTAATATTTTTGCTAGACAGCTAAGCAGGCATTTAAAACGTAATAATATTTACATATTATACTTAACACTGATTGGCTAAGTTTATAAGTCTCGTGTGTTCACACTGTACTTAATGAAGTAAACTTACTTAAGAAGGGGTCACTACTGTACTTGAGTTAAGTCAAGGTAACTCAAGTAAGTACATGTGTGAACACCAAAACTTAAGTCAAGTCTACTTAGATTTTGTCCGTGTGAACGCAGCTTTAGGGATGCACTTGACTGACTGAAACAGGTTTTTAACTGTATGTGTCTTATGAAATTCATAGTCAATTTCACACTATTTCACAGATAACTGTATAACTGTATTAATTTTAAGCACCAATACCAATACCACCACTACTACTACTAATACTACTACTACCGAGGTCATATGTCTACTTAAATACTAATAAATAAAGACTATATTTAAATACTATATAAAAACATATTAAATAATGAATTTTCTTTAACTTTCTACTATATAGATCAAGTATTTTTACATGTCCCGTTTATAACTAGCTCACTTAAGTTTTATGATAGCCAAATAAATTAGCCAGTTAGATTATTTTGTTAAAAGTACCATAATCAATTTTATTTAAAATACTACTAAATATTTTTTATTCATTAAAAAATTGTTTATTTGTTGGAATTTGCGTAAAAAATGTTTGATATTTATTCTATGGATTATAGGTTTACCCTACATATGTTTATCCTAGATATTAAACTTATTAGAATTTAATTTAGCCGTCTAATAAAATATACTAGCTTAAATATTTTAGCAATACTCATATACTGTATTTAATTGACAAAATATGTTATATATCATAGAAATTATAATACAGTACATTATTGATAATAAATTGCAAACACTAAACTACCTAAACTTAGCTCACATTATAAAAAATAATATTAGTTTAAATAATATATTTATTTAATAATAAATTAACAATTTAACAATTAAATATTTTTTATATATTAATAGATAATAATTTATTATAAAACAAATTATTGAATCTTAATTTTGTGTTTTAACATGCACAATTCTTAACTTTTAAATAATAAAAATTAAAGTATTTTTTATATCACAGCTACTAAATTTTATAAATAACCCAGATGAAAATACTATATAGCATTACCAAAACAAACATTTATAAAGTATATCTAATTGTTGTATCTGAACAGTCTATCTTATACACACTTTATTTTTAACCCATTCATTAACTTAAAAGATGGTATCACCATTTGCCACAACTTATTACTTAAAAAATATACCCACCTACTCACCCACTCACCCACTTTATTAAAAAAAATTATTTTTAAATTTAAAACATATTTCTTTAAAACAGGATATTAATTTTTCAGTCAATTTTAATGACACTAAAGACACTAAAATTAATTCAAATAATTAACTATAAATTTATAAAAAAATGTTTATTTAATTAATTATATATAATATTAAAGTATTTTTTTAGTACTTCTAGTTTTATTTTTCTAAACAGTATTTTATATTTTCTGATATATTCATATACCATGTAATTTATGTTATATAAAATAGTCACACAAATTTAATTTTTAAAATAAAATTATTAATATTTAGTAAACAATAGTTATTTAACAATAAATATTGTAATAAATAAGAGATTATTAGAATAAAAATAAATTATAAATATTGATATTAGGAAAAACTATACACATTTTATAGTAAATATTAATTAATTCATTTATAATTTATGAAAATGTTTCTCTTACTTTAAAATTGTATATCAATTGTAAAACTAAAGGTAGACTACAATGTTAAAGTATCAGGAATAATTTTATAAATTGTTAATAAATTAAGTAGTTTACTATATGTTAATATATTTTTGACTTGTTTTTCATGTTTATTATAAAAATTTCACAATTATAAAACATTATGTTGCTAAATTTTATTTAGTAAATATTTTTTTTTAATTTATAAAAATTAAAAGTATAGATTGTACCCATAATATTAATATATATAAAATTCTAACCAAGAAACTAAAAACCTAAAGCRTAAAAAACTGTAAAAACTCAATTGTTAATATTAAAATCACAACCAGATAATTATAGTATGACTACAATATTAGTTTATTTTGTATTAGTTAATATTAGTTAATCAATGTTATTTTAATGAGTTTTATACTAATTTTAAAATTTAAAGTAAACCAAAACCTATAAATTAAATCAAAAATGTTTGACTGTTTTTGGTTAGTCTTTCTGAACTCTTGTTTAATTTATTTGTTTTTATTTGTTTACATTATTTTTAATGAAATATCATTATATATTTATAAAGTGTAGATAAAATAAAAACTTTGCTAACTCGAGACTAATTAAATCTATTAAAAAAGATTTTTGTATTTACTTTTCATAGTTTTATGTTTATTTATATATCATATATCAAATTGTTATTTTTTAAAATTAGATTCTTTTATTTAATTTAAATCATAATTAAAAATAACTATAATAATTAAAATTTATTAATTTTAGTATAGTTGTTTTTTGTGGTCACAATCAATATTAAATACAAGTAATTTACAACAATTTTTATGAACTTCAAACATTTATCATATTTTATAGAATTTTTCCGAAACTTACATTTAATATACTTAACGCTTAAGATTAAAAATTGATGTTTTACTCATTGAATTACAGGCTTTTTTGTAATGTAATGTATAATAAATAAAAAGCTAAAGTTTATTTCTTTAAATTAATAATAATATTTATTACAATTATCAATGTCAATTTATTGTGCTTAATTTAACAATTTTTTAGTGTTATTATTATCATTATATAATATAAAAATAAAAACAAAAATCTTTTTATTGATAAGAGAAAATAGATTATTATTATTTTATATTAATAAAGTATTTTTATTTTCTTGGAAATTGAAAAGAATTTATTTAATAATATTTCTCTGGGAAGTTATTTAAACTTTAATTAAATTAATCTTAACTTTAATACAAATAAATATATATTACATTTAGCTAATACATTTTGTTATTTATAAATTTATATTTTTTATTGTAAACACTTTGTAATAGATTTAATAATTCAAAACTCATTATGTGTTAATCAAATATTTCTAATTTTAAAAAACGTGTACCAAATGTCTGATTTTATATATAATTGAGTACTGAAATTACAGGTATATAAAGAATACAATGAGAGAATAGGGACAGTTATGTAAAGAGGAGAGGGATATGTAATAATTAGGCAAATGTGAATCATTAATGTTTTGTAATAGTCCGACAAAACACCAAATTTAGCTCAAATTCGTGTCTCAATTTGACTAATTAGTAATAGTAATAATAATATTGTAGTATTTTTTATTTAAATAGTTTTATTGTATAACTTATAACTACGTGAATAAAGTAGAAGTAATAGTTTTGTTATACAGTATATGTTAACAACACCTACGCCTGTGTTGTCATATAAAACTCAAACCTTTTCTCTCTCTCCTACCTATCAATAAGGTTATACCTATCAGTGGACTGCGTTTAGTCATAGAATGCCATCCCATCCCTATTCTCGCACACTCTCCTAACGATGACTTTTCTCTCAATATTCAAACCATACTTTTTTAGTAACAAATAAAATGCAATATTTGTCTTATTTCTCTACTCTTTCTCTTACTTTCACTCAAAGAGATTAATAAATGAATCTTTAGATTTCATGTTAAGTTTGCTTCAAAATAACTCAAATAGTTTTAAAAATCTTTACTATTAATAAAAAAGTTTATAAAAAGTAAAAATCATTATTTCTTGAATATATTTCTAACATAAATATAAACTATCACTTAATATTTTAAACTTATTATTAAATATTGATATTGTTATTTTGCTATTTTCATCATTAGTTAAAAAAATAATAATAAAATAGATTAAATAGTAATATTTGATAGAAATTGATGAAACTATGAAATCATTTATATTCACAAAGGCTTCAAACGTTTATAAAATAAATGTAATTATTGTATTAATTTGTTGTATAAGAATCTGCAAACCAAACACGTTGTTTGATTTGCTGACCACCGATGGCTTGGCCTCCGATAAATACGGACTTCACTCACTTTTTGAGAAAAACAACAATAACTTTAGTATAGAAGCCGAGGATCAGCGCCAACAAATGGACAAAGAATGGTTCCGACGATTACCGATCAGACCGGGAATGGTTCAGTTTTCGGCTAAAAAGCCCAATCATTTGCCACGACTTGACCCGACGGTAACGCACGCGCGCCGCAGTAAACGCAAATCGGAACGCTTTATGACTGAACTCGTTCAGGATGTTTGTCCGTCGGTTTCCGATTGGGTCGCCCGTCAGGAAGCACTCGACCCCTACGGTAATCGTCTAACTATTGTTCAAAGAATTCCCATTAATGGCACTGTTATTAATCAATACTTCTTTGAGACTTTTTGCTCTCATAATCTCGAAAATAACCAAAATATTGAAAATAATAATCTCGACTATAATTATGGCTTTTATAATAATTATCAAAACAACTTTAATATCCTTAATAATCAATACAATCCTCTAACTCAATGTCGCGGAATTGATAAAAAGGTATTATTAAAAAATTGTTTTAAAGTATTAATTTTTAATTTAATTATAACCGAATTTATATAATAAGACAAATAAAATAATATACTAAAAATTTATTTTTATATATTTACAAATATATTTAATGATGCAATTATTTAATAGTAGCCTTTGGTATATACTGTATCATTAACTATTATTTATTAATTATATAGTGTATCTATATATAAATTTATGTATAATATATACAGTATATATTATATATTTATGTATACATGATATTGTACAATCATCTAGATCAATATTTACATTAACTATTGAATTTTGTTAAGATAAACTGCAAAAAGCTTTCAATTCTATTGTTTATTAGAAAACATTGTTATAATAATTACAAATATTTAATCAATAGTATTATTATTAAATTGTTTGCTTTATATTTTCGATGCCATAAGACTTATGACATCAATTCATACGTAAAATAATTGACAAATTAATTTAAAATATAGTCTTTGATAAATTAGTAAAACAATTGATTAATAATCAAAATTACACTAAATTATATACATCTATATTTGTATTGTTTATTTAAAGTTAATGTTTATACAATAACTATATTATATTTAATTTATATTTATAGTTACTATTGTCTAGTCTATTTTAATTACATTGTGATAATTTTGTTACAGCTATTTATCATTATTTCTTACTAATAATAAACATATTTTACATTATATTTAGTAATTTATTGTCCATAACAAAAATAATATTTTATTTTGATGTTTTGTAGTAATCATTATTGTCAGAAAGTTAATTAAATATTGTTATTTTGTATATTAGTAGTATAAATATATATTAATACCTCTATATACCATATAATATTTGTATATTGAAGATAACAATAATTTCAAGCTACTGAAATGACATTATATCATCAATAAATCATTTTTGTTAATAATAATGATAATAATATATTAGTATTATTATAATGTATTACATTAGAAAATGACACTAACTTAGATATCATTAAAATTTATAAATTATAAGCTAACTATAGAGTATATTGTAAATAGTTAATGTATTTTGTTATTAATGGTATTAATATATAAAATTTAATTTCAAATATGATTATTAATGAATTCAAGCAAACCTATCTAATATCTTGAGTATTATCTATATAAATAATTTTGAAAGACTAAAATTACTGGATTATTATAATATATATGTACTGTATATACAATATTTAACTTATTTACTGTGGATTCTTATTAAATTATAAATTAAATATTTATAAATTAGTTAACTACATGACTTAAATGCCACGAATTATCTTAATAATAATATTTAAATTTGATTTTGCATTTAATCATTAATAATCGATGTTGTAATTTGCATATAATCTAGATCTATAGTTAAATTTACTTAAAGTATATTAATTTCCTTATTATTATTTTATAATAACACAATTGAAACATAATTGAAAACAATTAATTAAATTATAATTTAGTTAATTAATAATGGTTTCCCCGACAATTGAAACTAATAAAACATTAATCTAGTTAATACCTATATTATGAATATTATGATATATTGTATTATTTCTACAAAAAGTTTTAGTTGTTATTTATATTCTGATAGATTTATATTCTGTTTGTTATATAATTTCGTATAAAACAAACTTAATAATAAATYATCTAATAGCTAAAATATAAAAATGAAAATTATTAATTTAAATAAAGTGTATGATATAAATATAATTATTATTGTTGTTTTTTTAAATAAAATTATTAGAGGTAAATATTAAATATTTATAATTTTAGAAAATTTCTATTAAAAATTGTATAAAATATAATATCCATTTTTGTAACATTATATTATAAATAGAATAATAACTTTTAACACGATTAGTAGTATATTTTATAAATGTTAATTATATTAATTTAATATAAATGTAAACTAATATGTTTATTATTCAGGTTTTATTAATTCAGTCAAATGTCAAATATCATAATAAACTAAAGTAAAACAAAAGCTATAATCAAAATTATTTTACATAATGTAGTCAGAGTTACTTCATTTTGTTGTAATAATAAAATATGTAATTGAATTTATATTTTTAGTTTATATAGTTTAGACATTTGTTTATATTGTCTAATTAGAGGAAAATTATAAATTGTGAATAATATTATTTTAATTCTTAATTAATTTGAGTTTTTTCCTCTAAATTTAATATATTTCATATTGTCATTCATTAACTTATATTAACATTATTGTATAATTTATTTCTTGAACGACAGTATTGTGAATTTAAGTATTTAAATAATACAAATACTTATTTATTTCATTATATGAATCTAATAATGAGTTTATTTACTATATGTTGAGATAATATTCTAATAAATTTCCCTAAGAATGTTTCTAGTAAATTTTTCAAGAATAAATTTCTAAGTTTTACTTTATTATTATACTATGTGATCTCAATATCTATTATAATACTACTGTAGGTATATTATACACTACACTACTATACAAATGCGATCTCTATATTTAAAATTAATATAATTATCTAATTATAATTAGTTTTGTAAAATTTTATTCATCATACAATTATATTTTAAATTTAATGTATTTAAATAGATTTATAATAATTTTGAAAATTAATTAAAATACTAATAATAGTTAGTTATTATTTGTAAATATTACGCATAATTAAAAAACAACAAATATAGATATACCAAAATTAGCATGGACAAAATTTTTTTTTAGAAATCTCTCTTTTTTGCCAACTCTAACTATATGTCAGTTATAAATATTGATTGTGTGAATATATTGTATATACTGTAACTATATTATATAAAATTGTCTTATAATCTTTTTAAATATTAATGATATTCAATTAAATGCAAGTTTTGATTTTAATATAAATAAAGTAATAAATATATAATTTTGATAAATTATGTATAAAATGAATTGTTTATAGATGTGGTCGTCTCGATGTCGGGAGAACTACATCTGGACATACGGTAAAGTGATAACTAGTACGGGAGATATCGGTTGGTCTGTGATTGCTATACGTGGGTCCTGTAGTTGTGCTATTTGGCCGAAAACCAATGATGTGGTCAATGGTAGGGGAAGGAGAGTCAGTCCAAAACATGTCAACAAAGAAGATAATCATTTATTAACGGATCCATTCTTTTGATGTGCTTTTTTGTCTTACTTTAATAACTTATAAAACCACATATAAAACCTCATAAAAGATTGTAAACAACTTTCTCTAACTTTCACTCATAAAATTACACTAAAAATATCTGCTATTTAATTATAATAAACATTATATTACTTTTTAGTTTATTGGAGTCTATAGTTTTAGCGATTTTGTCATTAAATTCATAATTTAATGAAATTTTGCTAAAACTAATGTTTATTTATTTTATAGTAGATGAGTATTGTTTTTGATAAAATCATTAAAATAAAATTATTTAATACAAACGTTAAGACGTTTAAATTAATTTACAAATATATTATGAAATTATTTGTTAAGTTTGTCGTAATTAAACAATTTAATAATTTATTTATTATTTTATAAATATTTAATGTTTGTTGTATATGATATAAGTTAAATATATCTTTAAAATGTTATATAAATTTTAGTGTTTGATTATATGGTTTTATTATATGATTAAAATAAAAGTGATTTTTTAAGAAGTTTAACAAAAACACAAATATTTAATTTTCAATGTAATAATTCTATATAATTAATTATTTTAATATAATTAAAACATTGAACAAAAATACATTATTAATATTGTATGGATAAATTGAATTAAAATTCATTTGATATTTAATAATTACAATATTGTTGATTATTTATTAATTAAAAACTATTTATTACTTTATATTGTGTTTTAAAACACTTCATAAGTATTTTAAATTTAAAAAATTAACTAAAGTAAGTCTTCACATAAAGTTATTTGATTTGTGTGAAAAAGCTACAAAATGATAGTGCATTGTAAGTACATTGTAATTAATATTTAAAGTAACTATAAATATTATAATTAATATATTGTGAAGTTTTAAAGTTTTAAATATTGTATAAATTTTTTCTTTAGCTAACATCAAACAATTGCTTTAATTGCATCAAACAATTTATAAGAATAGATCAAAATAATAATAATAGTTTTAATATTTAGAATTTTAACAATATTGTGATACAAAAAAAATAAAAAAATTCACTAAAATAATTGAATTTATGCAACTTTTATTTAAATAAAATGCATAATTTATAATACAAAAATTATGTTTTTAGTATATTTTAGACATTTTAAAAATATATTTTTTATAATTATAATTTTTAAATATTTTTTTATGTACTTAAGTAATAAAATTTTACAATTATATTTTTTAAAAAGAAAACTAAATAGTATATTTAGCTAAAAGATTACTAAACATCAACATAAAAATATAAACAAAAATTTAATGCATTTTTTAATTGATACTAATTGCAATAAAACTTTAGTATTAAAATGATCAATTGTGTGATGACAATGATCTAAAATAAATTAACAAAATTAAGTATAATGTACTGTATTATTATAACACTATCATATAGTAAAGTAAAATAAAGTACAATTTATATTAATTACTATAATGCACTAAAACGGGATAAAAATCAATAATATATAAAATACATTATAATGTTTTGTAACGTTTGGATATCAAGCCTTAGGTTATAAGATATTAATTAAATGTTATTAGAGACACATTGAATATAATAATTTGTGGTATAATTAATCTGATGTTTGTTTTGATAAACACTTTTTTTTAAATAAGACTCGTCTAAAAATAATCATAAAATATATACAGTATTTAAATAAAGTATTTATGGAATATATATATAACACCAAATAATTATCAAATAAATATTAACATCTTATTCAAACATTATAATCAATATATAAATTAATTACTATATTACTATTATAACACATTTATTTATTTAATGATGTATGACAATATTGTATGTAAATTTTAAATAAATAATATTTTAATGTTTAAAAATAAAATTATTAATTTTAATTAATCTTATACAAATATTACTTAAACTATTATATACTAATATATTAACCTAATAGCATATAAAAAATAACAATAAAATAAAACTATCAAAATATTTATTACGATTAATTTTTATGTTTTAAGTTTATTATTTATAAATAATTTACTGTATCTTTATATTAACTTTATAGTGACAGATATATAACAAAATACCATCGATTAACACATTTTACATTAATTGTATATTTGTTTTACATTAATAATGCTAAACAATAAGTTAAACAAAATGGTTTATATGTATGAAATAATAATTAATGCATAATAATAATAATATTTAATGGTTTGCATAGTATAAATAAAAATTTTAATAATGAATACAATATAATAGTGAAAACAATGTTTTCTATGATTTATTGGAAAATCATGCCTTTATTTACAATAATGTTAACAATTTTGAGGACAGTTTTCTCAATGGATTTTCATTTATTTGGATTGTGTGTACTCTTTAGAGAAATGCTTTTCATATTTTTTGATGAATGAATTATTTGTAAATTACTTTAATTAGAGATTTTGTTGTAATATATTTCTAGAGCCATCAAGAAGTCAAATAAAAATATGATGACCAAGGTAACTTATTTTATATATTATTATTGTTTTAATAACTATTTTATCATTTTATAAATGTCTAATAAAACACAATTAATGAAAATATATTGTTTTTGATGTCTTGATTATCATTGAATTAAGAGAATTGTATTTTATAGTATTTTATGGATTATAAAAATATACAAATCACACGTAACACAAATATTATACATTATATGAATAATAATATAAAAATATCAATATTAGTATAATAATAGTTACTGTTTTTTACAATAAAATTACGCATAAAATATGGTTACTATAATTTAGCAAAAATAATCTATTTTATTGTCGTATACTAAAATAATGAGGGACAGTTTTACAATTAATAATTTTTGTCTTAATTTTTACATTAATATAAAAACTGTCAAAAACAGTAGTAATGATTTATAATTAAAAGTTGAAAAAATATTTTGTAAATAGTTTCAAATATTTAGATATAATATTTAGTAAAACTACTTAAATATTTATCTATAATTATAAAAATATAAGCTTTTTTAATTTAACAATCAAAAAATATATCGTAAAATCTTAATTATAAGTCGATCTGGTGTTTAGGTCACAAGTCGTTTATTGATAAAAAAATAATAATTTTGTTGAATAAGTCGCACAAATTTTTAATAAACTGTAACTCATGTCATATGTAGTCAATTGTTTGTATGCATCAAAAGTGTGTTGAATTGTAGCAATTGTTTGATATCATTAAACAAAATGTGAGACATTTTTACACAACAGCGAAGAAGTTGGAAGTGATTGCTTTTGCGGAGACGAACGATGACGGGAATAGAGGGGCTGAAAGACATTTCGGTATAAATGAGAAATTAGTCAGAGATTGGCGTAAAATTAAACCAATACTTATGGCAATGAATCCAAACAAAAGAAACCGAAGAGGAAAACAGTGTTTTTGGCCCGAAATCGAGAGAGAAATCAAGACCTGGGTCTTAGATCAAAGAAAACAAGGATTTCGTGTAACATTAGTCAACATTAAGTTAAAGGCCAAAGAGATTGCTATCAATAAGTCGATTACGGGTTTCAATGCCAGTGACTGCTGGTGTAACAGTTTTATGCGGAGAAACAAGTTATCGGTCAGAGCTGAGTCCAGTATTGGTCAGAAATTACCACAAAATTGGGAGCTAAAAATGGCTGAGTTAATGGCTTATATGAATAACAATAGAGATGGTGTTCAATACCAACACATCGGTAATATGGATGAAGTACCGGTTAGTTTCGATATTATTGGCAATTTCACAGTTGATTCTGTTGGTGCAAAAGAAGTTAAAATAAAATCAACCGGAAACGAGAAAAACTTTTTCACAGTTGTGTTGTATGTCACTGCCGATGGCGGAAAATGTGATCCTATGGTAATATTGAAACGTAAAACGATACCCAAAGAAGATTTTCCTAAAGGAATAATAGTGAAAGCAAACCCTAGCGGTTGGATGACTGAAGAAGTATTCATTGAGTGGTTGTCATTAGTTTGGAAACGAAGAAAAAACTCATTTTTCAATAAAAAAAATCGATTCTTATTTTCGACTCAATGACAGCTCATATCACCGAAAATTCGAAATCGGAGGCTAATATGTTGTCGACTTTGGCGGTCATACCGAAAGGATTAACTAAAAAGTTACAGCTATTAGACTTAACTATCAACCGGTCATTCAAATCAAAATTGAGAAAAGAGTGGGAGAAGTGGATGATTGAAGGCTATCATACATTCACTAAAAGTGGTTCAATGAGAAGAGATTCTTATTGTGAGATCTGTCGTTGGATTAAGAAGTGTTGGGACGCAGTGTCTGTTGATTGTATCAAAAATGGTTTCAAAAAGACCGGTATTTGTGATTACAATCATGACGTTACTCAAGAGGTGACAGACATCGTTTGACTTTAATTAGTATTAAATTATTAATATAAATGTATACTTAAGATAAATTGTTAAATTTAAGTAATAAGGCGTGGTTCACATATTACGTTCGCAATTGAGGGGAGGGGGGTTGGCCAAAGCGAACTTTTGCGAACGAAGGGGAGGGGAGTGGTATAGTCTTTAAGAACGTTCACATTTAGATATTTTATTTCTTGTGGTGGGGGGGGTAGCGGTTAGGGACATGCGAACGAAATTTTTTAAATGACTACATGCGAACAATTGCGAACATAGGGGAGGGAGGGGGTCTAGATTTCTTAAAAAGTGCAAACGTAATATGTGAACGACGCCTAATTGAGAAATAAATGATTTTTGATAGATTTAAAGTTCTGTTGAAATTATGATTTTTAAATATATAAAAATTATGTATTATATATTTTTTAAATATATTTTATGCATTTTATATTCATTTTATTTTAAGCATTAATGCTAAATGTATAAATAAAAATGTAAGTTAAAATACTATTACATTAATATAAATTTAGAAACATTTTAGTAAAACTAGCAATAATTTTATTTAAAAATATTAAATTTTTGTTAATAATTATTATTATTGAAAATATTGCACTTTCTTCACATTT